TGTGAAAATACTCAATATTCTAGTGTTTGTGGTTATAAATTGATAATCAAGGTGCTTTATTTTTTCAGCCAGGAGAAACTTCTCATCAAGCTGTAATTTTCTAGGCTGAAAACTGTCCAGCTGGAAAGAGAGTAAAGCTCTCAAAATCACGGGCAAGTTCACTGAGAAGGGCAGGGTGTGTTGAGTCGGTGTCCAGAGGTGGAACAGAAGCCCCTCTGGCTTTATTTCTAAGCTTGGCATTTCAACAAATAGAAAAACTAGTTCTGGAGAGATTTCTTCCTGAATGGAAGTTCCTGACACACTTCTGCCTCCATTCCAGTCTAGTTTAATCTCTAGCAGGAGTCCTGAGTGTCAGAAGACAGATGAAACCCATTACTATTAGCGTTAGAAAAGCAGACAAAGGAAAGTTGAGTGAAGTAAATGGAACACCGTCTTTCTTTTCAACGTGGAAGTTTAACAAACCTGTTCTACCCTTAGTTTCCACCATTTAATTCTTTCATTTATTCTTTTTATTATTTGTTATTTGTTTGTTTGTTTGAGACAGAGCTTGTTCTGTTGCCCAGGCTGGAGTACAGTGGTGCAATCTCAGTTCACTGTAGCCTCTGCCTCCTAGATTCAAGCAATTCTTCTATCTCAGCCTCCCAAGTAGCTGGAATTACAGGCGTGCACTACCAGGCCTGGCTAATGTTTTTATTTTTAGTAGAGACAGGGTTTCACCATGTTGGCCAGGCGGTCTCAAACTCCTGACCTCAAGTGATCTGCCACCCTTGGCCTCCCAAAGTGCTGGGATTACAGGCGTGAGCCACCACACACAACCTCCATCATATTCTTTTTTTTTTTTTTTTTGAGACAAGAGTCTCTCTCTGTCGCCCAGGCTGGAGTGCAGTGGCACGATCTCGGCTCACTGCAAGCTTTGCCTCCCAGGTTCAAGATTCTTCTCCTGCTTCAGCATCCCAGTAGCTGGGATTATAGGCATGACCACCATGCCGGCTAATTTTTGTTATTTTTAGTAGAGACGGGGTTTTACCATGTTGGCTGGGCTGGTCTCCAAACTCCTGACCTCAGGTAATCACATGCCTCGGCCTCCCAAAGTACTGGGATTACAGGCATGAGCCACTGCACCCGGCCCATTAATTCTTAAAGCTAATAAAACATCTAATCACTGAGGCTTGAGTAACACCAAGAGTTTCTGCAAGAACCCAATCTCAAACAGATAAGACTCAGAAAATGCACTGAATTCCTCAGATAAAAGGCCATTGTCCAAAACAAAATGGATTCATGACTTTGTAGTGAGTTTGAGATAGAAATAGTACTTCAGATCTCAGGATCATGACCAAGACACAGATGCCTTTTCCTGCCATGACAGAGTTCTGAAGTCATGCTTGTGATAATCAGATATGCTCTCAGATGCTGGGACTGCCAACCTTCATAGGAAAGTAACATACACTTACTTACCTCATGCCAGCAGCTGTACATAACTTCATATATGGACATTGGTGCTAGGTGAGGGCGATATAACCTGAAGCCTTCAGAAATAGCTTCACGACTTGCAAATTTGACTTTTTCAAAAGGCATTTTTCCTTCTGTAAAAACTTCCCACATTAAAACTCCTGCAAACAAAAATGCATGAAAACAAGGGGTTAGAGAGAATGATTGCTTGGGAACTGAAAGAATAATTTCAAACTACAAGGCATTATTTTTGTGGCTCCAGGCTTTGGGTTATAACCATCCTGAATAACAGCGGTTCTATCAAGGAAGCAAATCATATGTACCTCAGTTTTCAAAGAACCTGTAACCTGAAAATAATCTAAGTGAAAACAAGCCCTTTTCCTTTTCATGAGTTTTGATGCTTCTCTCTATCAGGAGAAAATGCCGGTAGCATTTCCTTTTTTTTTTTTTTTTTTTGAGACAGGTCTCGCTCCGTCACCCAGGCTGGGAGTGTAGTGGCATGATCTCAGCTCACCGCAACCTCGTGTCTCCCAGGTTCAAGCAATTCTTCTGCCTCAGCCTCCTGAGTAGCTAGGATTACAGGTGCCACCCACCCATGCCCAGCTTATTTTTGTATTTTTAGTAGCGGCAGGGTTTCACATGTTAGCCACGCTAGTCTCGAACTCCTGACCTCAGGTGATCCGACCACCTCAGCCTCTCAAAGTGCTGGGATTACAAGCGGTGAGCCACCACGCCCAGACTTAGCATTTTCATTTCTAAGTAGCAGTCATGTCCCTGCACTCTGAAATCAATGAACCTTTCTGTCATTCCATAGAAACTGACAGGATTATGTGAGCTCTGCTGCCTACTCAGCCAAGAGTTTCAGTCAGTAAATGGCATGTGTCCCTTCTTTCTGCTAAAAGATTAGACTGATGGGCAGAAGCCCCAGAGTATCTAGCCAGGTCCAGTAATCATTGATTGATTGGTTAGTGAAACTCCTGCAAGAACTCCCAATTTGAGTTCATTTAATTATTCACTTATTCTACAAATATTTGCTAGACATTGATGAGAGGCCAGGCATCTCCCGGGGCCTGAGATTTTATAAGTTGAGATCAACCCATGTGCCTAAGGAGCTCACTGTTCAGTGAGGGAGATAAGTAGGTAAAATTCAGGGAGTTCTAACTGTTTACAACCTCTTCGATGAGGTCCTATATTGTCTTCATTGGTGTCTAAGATGTGGTCTCACAACCTAACTGCTCTTCAGTAGAGCTTCAAATGTCACCTGCTGAGATTATCATATGTCCATGGAAAGCTGATGAGATTAATGACACCAGCTTAACCTTATTGTATTTTTTTAAATTTATGTTTTAATTTTTTTAGGCAGGTTCTTGCTCTGTCACCCAGGCTGGAGTACAGTGACACGATCCTGGCTCACTATAACCTCAAACTCCTGGGCTTAAGCAATCCTCTTGCCTCAGCCTCCCAAGGAACTGGGACTACAGGTACATGCCACCACACCTGGCTATTTTTGTTTGTTGTTTGTAAAGACAGAGTCTTGCTAGGTTGCCCAGGCTATGCTTGAACTCCTGCTCAAGCAATCCTCCCACCTCCACGCCTCCCAAAGTGGCTGGTATTGTCAGACCTGAGCCACTGTGCCCAGTTTTAACCTTATTGTAGACAATAAAACTGACACCCTTCTGAGGACCCGGAACCCACAAGCCTCCAGGCAGTTCTGGGTGAAAGAGGATAGATAGATGTTTGCATATTACCATTTCTTGAAAATCAACCTCGAAACTTCACTGGACGTGGGTCTATGGTGTCTCTTTTTCAATGAAAAACACTATCCAATATGAATATCAATTCACAGATCTCAAGGAAGCCTATGTCTAAATTCCACAAACTTTAAAGTTAAGGAAGTAAATGAGATGCCACCATTTTTTAAACTCAGGTTTTAAGTTCAGGTTAACAACTAAACAATTGGAAAATAGTCAAGCTGCTTCATAGTTTAGACAATGAAGTTTACTAATTACACTCTAAACTCAACAGTGTCATAAGATCATTTTTCCTTCAAGCGTCTGCAGAGTGGAAAACTTGTCTGAGTTTTTTTCTAGATCAGTAGACTCTTTGTTACGGTTTTACAGTGAGTGCCCATGGAGGAAGGAAAAGATCCAAAAGTCAGACTTATGTAAGAAGGTATGTGACACTAGTTGCCAAAGACAATCGGGATGTGGTTAGAACACATAGAAGGAAAAACAATTACAAGAAGACTTTTTAAAAAATTCTACATCAATTAGGAAATCAAAGTTAAAAATAACATATTGCCCATTTTATTAAATCAAGATCTAGCAAACATCAGATGCACTCACCAAATGACCAGACATCAGATTTACTGCTGTACTTATTGAAAAGAAAAACTTCAGGAGGGGACCACTTGATTGGGAACTTGGCTCCAAAAGAACTGACATACTCATCATCCAAAACATACCTACAGTTATCAGATTCAAAGCACATTGTGTTAATTACCTCCAAGCTCTATTTACTTCAAATCCCTTTAGTTAACTCTAAGTTGTTAAAAGACAAAGTATTTTACCCTAGAAAGCTTGTGGACACCTTCTTGTTAGTAGAGTGTGAAAGTGCCCTTGATAATGTTTCCTCCCCAAACCATGTTTCAGTTGTGTTTGTTTTATGTGGATCTCTGAAAATCAGAATGCTGCTTCAGTTCAAAACATGGCTCACTGTTTATGTTAATTATGGTAAATTCTTGACTCTACAAAGAAGCATGCTAACAACCAAGATTATAAAAAGGAAATAAAAGACCACTCTTCCCAGGGGTGGGGATAACAAAAACCACTCTCCTTGAAATGGAAATGAATGATTCAAAGTTGGATGTCAAATTTTCTTCCATGTGTATGTTTTTTTGTGAGGCATAGAGAAGGGGAGAAAGTAAAAGTATATGAACATAATGCTTCTGATGTGACAAATCTCTAATGCATTAGAATGGCCCTATATGGAAAGAAATCAAGAATAACTACCATCTCCTTAAAATAATAATAAGTTGAACCCTCTCTCTTTTTTGAGAGTTGTATGCAGGGATGTCCAAATGTGAGAAATTGGGGAGAAGAGACAAAAATTAACTCGTGCTTGTTGCCCCTTAAATATACAATATAGTGTTTTCACAGCATTTATTAATGCTGCCTCTACACTCCCACTTTTCTTTTTAATATACACTACCTCCCTCCACCTGTCAGCGCTTTATTGAGTCAGAGGTCATTCTACTTAGGTAAAGAATCAATAACAGAAAACAAAGAGAGAAAAGCCATTGCTTATAGATTTTGAATTTTTCAAGTCTAGGCTCTTCAGAGAAGAAATATTGAGTTATTAACAAAATATCTTGGAAAATGGGCCATGAACAGGAGTGAGATCTCACTACCACCGTCCCTATTACCACCACTATCTAGAAAAAGATCCCTTGAGCTAGAGGAATGGGGGAAATAGAAGGGAAAGAAAAGGGGAGTACTAGACATTAGTAGGTCAGTGAGTTAGGATCCTTTATCTTGTACTCTATAAGGGCTGCCCAAGTCACACAGCAGAGAAAGAAGCTCCTAGTCCCACATTAGGTTGGTGGGATTTAAAAGTGAAACAGAACCTGTGCTCTTTTCCCCAGGTAGAGCCCTTGGAAAGGCAGAAAGATGCCAATGAACAAATGGCTGTGGATGTGCCCAGGTAAATGAGATCTGAGATCCCACCATGGAGTTTTGTAATCATAAAGAATGCTGACCAGGTGAGACTGCTCACGCCTGGAATCCCAGCACTTTGGGAGGCCGAGGTGGGTGGATATTTGAGGTCAGGAGTTCAAGACCAGCCTGGCCAACATGGTGAAACCCTGTCTCTACCAAAAATTTAAAGGCATGGTGGCATGTGCCTGTAGTACCAGCTACTTGGAGGGCTAAGGCAGAAGGATAGCTTGAGTCTGGGAAGTCAAGGCTGCAGTGAGCCAAGGGAGCACCACTGCACTCCAGCCTGGGCAACAGAGCAAGACTCTGTCGGACAAAAAAAAAAAAAATGCCAGTTCTGAAGGAACCTTGCAGAAAAAAATCAGTATGGGTTAGCAGTTACCTGTTTGAGTAGCCAGCCAAAGACAAGACTAGAGGATGGTGGCTGCAAGGATGCCATGCACACGGATAACAAAAGGGCCAGTAAGCCACCTTCCTACCAGTACGATAGCCCCACAAGACCAAGAACTTTGACTTTGAAGCTTAGGGAAGCCAGAGAAAAACCCCAAATTCCCTGGAATTATATCTCTAGCACCATCCCAAAAAAGGATGCTCAAAATTTAAACTATATTGAGTTGTAGAAAAATATGGCTAAATTTTTCACACTCTTGAATTGTAGACTTAGAGTCAACTACTATACTTAATAATAGAAATGTTTGGTGAGGACATAGAAAAATCAGAGCTGAGAAAACAAATTTATTTATTTTTCTCCCAAAAACATATGTGTATCAGAAATGCTTTTTTCTTCACCTTTCTCAGTGGACCGAGAAATTCCTTTTGTAATTTAAAAATATACCATAGTTTTCTTAAAAGATGCGAATAGTCCACAGTAAACATTTACCTCACAGCTAAAATTGTACATGTCCTAAAATTCAAAGTGGGTCAGTAGGCCATACAACCAGGCCTACAACCTAGGAAGATAAAAACACAGTCTGCAGCATCTTCAGTTTATCAGTAAACAAATGTAAGATTCCCTCTTATGAGTAAACAAACAAAATACATATATATACATAGCACGTACCTTGTCATTCCAAAGTCCGAAATTTTTACTGTGCATGTTGAACTGACCAAACAATTCCTTGCTGCCTATGGAAAGAAGAATCCAAGTTTGAATACAAGTTTTTATTTCAAGAGTTTTTCCTCTCCTCTTCCTTAGGTTATTTGGACCCCATGCTACCTGTCTGTGTGGACAGCCAAGTCATTTTTATGGTGATATCCATCAATGGTATAGATTCAATAGTTTGCCTTCGTATTTTTTTTGAGTCAAGATCTGGCTCTGTCGCCCAGGCTGGAGTACAATGGCACCATGTTGGCTTACTGCAACCTTCCCCTCGTGGGGTCAAACCATCCTCCCACCTTAGCCTCTTAAGTAGCTGGTACTACAGGCACACACAACCACGCCCAGTTAATTTTTATATTTTTGGTAGAGATGGGGTTTCATTATGTTGCCCACACTGGTCTTGAACTCCTGGGCTCAAATGATCCACCCACCTTGGCTTCCCAAAGTGCTGGGATTACAGGAGTGAGCCACCAGGCCCAGCCTGCCCTCAATTCAATCTGAAAGATGATACAACTATAAATCTTGGCATAAAAATAGTGTATATTTTTTAACATCTTTATAGGAAAGCCCAAAATACATAACAGATAAGGCATATTGATTTTATATCTTTGGGATCTCTAATACATAATAAAAATTAAGAAAAGATAATTCAACACTGATTTCACTCAAGATAATTATTTACAGTGATAATTTCATATTTCTTAAAATTATCACAATGAACTGAATACATGCTATGTAGAAACAATGTATTTGAGGCCAAAGCAATTCATTTTCAGCAACTTAATCAAGAAAATCATTGATTTGATTATTTAGCCTCATGTAGGTAAACTAGATAAAATATTTGATAGAATTTTCCTCTTTTCAGCTAATTTGTGGTTCAATTAGTTAAGCAACAAAAGCAAGAAACTTGAAATAATAAATCACAAGGAACCAGTTTAGAAGATGCCAGCAAGTCCTAGCAATGACCAAACCACAAGAAAAGTTCTTGACAGGGAAAAGACTCATTGTTCACTGACATATTTTAAGTAGCATATAGGGAGATAAAATAGAACACAAAAGAAAATGAGCAAATAAGGGAAAAAAACAGGAACAGGAGGGCCTGTCAGAAGCCATTTGGAGCAAATAAAATGACCAGAACTGTCACCCAATTGTTATCGGCAAAGACAAACCTGCAGAGACTAGGAAAGTGAGCCAGGTGGACTTGATACCGTATTCACCCATTCAAAAATTTGCTCATTTCTCCTAGGTGCTGGATACCGGGAAATGTGCCTTTAGGAAATTTTTTTTTAATGATCTATCTCTGTAATAGCAATAGTTAATATTGCTGAGCTCCTCTACATGCTAGACACTGTTTATTAATTCATGTAATTCTCCCAACAAACCCATACGAGGGAGGTGCTATAATGAATACCACTTCACTGGTTAACTAGCTTGCCCAAGCTCTCACAGCTAGTAAAACACAGAGACAATATTTCAACCCAGCTAGCCTGGCTCTAGAGTAGTCGTTCTCAACCTCAACTTCACGTGGGGCTCATCAGGGGAATTTTCAAAAAATATTGATGCCTGGGTTTCAGCCACGGAGATTCTGATTTAATTGGTCTGGGGTATGGCCTGGCTATTGCAATTTTTCTAAAAGCTTCCAAGTAATTGTAATGCATACCAAAGTTTGAAGTTTGAGAATGACTGTTTGAAACCTATGTTCTCAATCACTGCATGGCATCTCAGACATCTAGGCCTTGATCTCAAAGACTCTAAGTCTCATAAGATAGACTCTAGTATTTGTATAAACGATGTAAATAATTAACTATTGGGTGAAGCAGTAAATAGCAAATGCCCTGAGTGTTCCAAGCCACGGGTAGGATAAGCATACTTCCCAAGGTGTGCTGAGGCCAATGTAACTATGCCCCCTTTTTCTCCCCAAAATACTCCAGCCTGTACAGTGAGTAATATGATCACTTTGATCATGTGTGATGGAAGCACAGAATTACTTCCAAGGGGCAATATCAGGGATTTCTCATAGACTTCTCCAATTCTCATTTGAGTTAATTTTTAGATTTCGAAATCAGACATGGAAGGACATAACGACATCAAGGGAATAGTGTGAATATCATGAATAAATGTGGAATGGACAGAAAGTGTTATTCAAGGGGAGGTAGCAATGCAGAGAAGCAGTGCTGTTAGCATATGGTTTGGGTAAGACAATCATTTATTTAAATAGGAATGTTCTGAGCATTACAGAAAAAAATAATGTAGCATTCCTAGTCTCTTCAATAATGCCAGCAGTGCTCTTGCAATCCTGTTAGGGTCAAACTACCTCCACGTCAGGAGCCGTTATGCCCCTAGGTGACATTTTTTAGATAAAGTTGGAGACTAAAACTGGAAATTGTTCTTCACTGTTGTATCTCCACTGCTTAGCAGAATGCTTGGCATATACTAGGCACTCGATACATGTTTGATTATGGGTTGAAAGGGAAAAAGGTGGAAGGAAAGAAAGAAGAAGGAAGAGAAGGAAGAAGGGAGAGTGGAAAGGAAAGGAAATCAGTTTTAGTCACATGATAAGTTAGGTGGTTAATTAGTTCAAGGCATAGAGTAAAGCCTTACTTGGCTATGAAATCACCTTTGCAAAATTATGACTGAGAACCTAACTGACTCCATCTTGCTTTTAACCTCCAAACTGTCCTTGTTCATTCCTGGGCATAGGCTAAACTAACTTTGGGTGGAATTTATAGTTTATAGTTTAAAATGAAGATGATAACAGCCCTTTCCCAAACAAACCTCCCTCTTGTCTGGGGACCAGACTTCCTTTGTAGGACTAACAAATTAGCCACAAGATTAGAAATTATGGTTTAGGAGTCAGACAGCTGGAGGCTACAAGATTCTGACTCTCCTTAAACTGCTCCTAAGATCAGTGCTTGAGCTATTTTGCAGGCCCTGCACTTGATGGATCAGCTAGCACCACCCAGATCAATTAACTGGCTCACCTGATCTTCTGGCCCCCACCCAGGAACTGACTCAGCATGAGGACAGCTTCAACTTCCAATGGTTTCATCTCCTACCTAACCAATCAGCTCTCCTGGCTCAGTGACTTCCCCCCACCCACCAAATTGTCCTTAAAAACTCTGATCCCCATATGCTCGGGGAGACTGATTTGAGTAATAATAAAACTCCAGTCTCCTGCACAGTCGGTTCTATGTGAATTACTCTTTCTCTATTGCAGTTCCCCTGTCCTGATAAATGGGCTCTGTCTAGGCAGCAGGCAAGGTGAACCCATTGGGTCTTTACAGCAACAGCATCAATGGGCAATTAAAAACAAAGTTCCATTTTACAACAAATTGCATGAATAGGTAAATGTTTAAAAATTAAATCAAGGATACATTATTCAAAGTATTGAAAGTAATTGTCACATCCTTCTGAATATTGGTATGATACATTTTAAAAAGTAAATTTGCACCATACTTACCAAATCCCTATGAATATAGCCATTCCTCTCCAGATATTCCATTCCTTCACATATATCCTGGCATACACTCAGTAGCATTTCCTTTCTAAGCTTTCCTTTATTCTCCCTGAGATAGTTAAGCAGGCAGCCATTTTCCATGAACTCTGTCACAATGTAAAGGGGCTTCCACTGTGTACAGACCCCATAAAGTTGCACTAGCTTTGAATGAGATAATTTCCTGGTGAAGAAAAACATACACCAGTGAGCAGAATTGTGTTTGCATTTTAAAATGTTTGAACACAACCGGTAATATTTACCATCTATTTATCACTCTCATTATCAAGATAAGATGAAAATCCACCCAAACACAGAGAAAGTAATGCAGCTTCCTTGCCACTTAATGCACTGAGAATGTGGGGTCAAGAGTTTAAGTGGTAATGCCAAAGGCAGTGTGGAAACAGAATATTACATGCACCACATTCTACGTGTCAGCATTTTAACTTTCTCTTCTTCATTTTATAATCCTTTTGTTTCTTCGTCGCTGTTTATCCTTGCTAGGTTGAGCAGATTTCCTTTCCTCTTCCTTGAATTCCAGCTTTCCTACCTGCAGCTGTCCAGATGAAAAATTCTGGACAGACAAGAGGGAGGAAAGAGTGACTAAAAAAGAAAACAAAAATTAAATTCTAAAGCATGAAGTTCTTTAAAAGGAAATTTTAGATAAAGTTGGAAACTAAAGAACATTTACCAACATGAAAACTTGCAGTGCGCGCACACACACACACGCGCGCCTTGAATGTTGCCTATTAAAATATACCCAGAACTTTTTAGTTATCTAGACTTCAAAAGTTTACTGGTTTTGTGCGCGTGTGTGTGGAATATTATATTCAATCTCTAAAAGCCTTTTATACCAACTAGTCATCATGGAAAATAATATTCAAATTAACACTTACAATTTTAGAAGACGTACCTTGTGTCAAATGTGCCTTGAAAATTTATTGCTGCTTTTCATTCTTTTCATTCATAAATGTAAAATAAAATCAGTGACTTGGGAAGACTGTGTACCCTAACACAATGTATATGAATGATTTTTGACTTATTATCATAAAATTAGCTTCTGAAAACACTCCAGTTAATGAAGAAGAGAGGCATTCAGAGAACTTAACATTATCTTAATTTAGAGATATATGTATATGTATTATATTTTGTCTGATTTACTTTTTGAATTCATAAAGTGTACTTTCAGTTAAGGGATGCAGTTTACATGTATATAGAGTAAGTGCAGAAAAGCAAGTCTTGAGATGAAATATTAATTTGCCACAGGAAATCCACCAAGTTGATACCCACATGGAAGCATCTGAGAATTGAAACATTACTGCATTTCCTTATCAAGATCACTGGTAAAAATCTAACAGAAATAAGGCAAACCTTTATCAGAAATCAGGCAAAGACAAACTCTCATATGATTCAGTCTAACAAATATGACAAATATTTCTCACAAGCACAGAAAGATGCAAATGGAAAACCTACATTCTTGTATGTTATAACTCTAGGACTTCTTAATACACATTATTTCTCAGTTTAGAGAAGTATGTGGGATTCATCATAGGCCAAACACACATTTAAATTCATTTAAATTTGTTATTTAAATATTTTCAGACCCTTTGCAGGCTTCTCCAGTTCTCCTTTTCTAATTATTCTCTTTCCCTAAGTAATTGCATTAAGTTTCAGGGTTTTAAATATCATCTCTGGTGACCACTCTCAAGTTAATACCCTCCACTCTGACCTTTTTCCTGAACTCCAGACTCATATATTTACCTCGCTACTCAATCACACCTAATAAATAACAGTCTTCTCAAATCCAACATGTCCAAAGCAGAATTCTTAATTTTTCCCCCTAAACCTGTTTGGTCTTCCCCCATCTTTGTAAATGGTGCCACTCTTTGCCTAATATAATAATGTACACCAAAACCTTAGCATCATCTTTTTTCCTCTGGTTTCTTCTGACTACCTACCACATTCAATTTATCAGCAAGTCTTGATGACTTTATCTCAAAAATGTATCCTGAAACAATTCTCTTCTTTCCGTCTTTTGCCCTCTAACATATATTAGTTTTCCAAGAGTGTGTTGATAATTATGTTCATTAGGGTCACGTTTTTTGTGCCCAGACAGTTCACAGTTTTGATTTCAATTAGAAGCTCTAATGATGTTTTCTTGTGGGACTACAGGCAAATTACATAATGTAAACCAAAAATAAAATTCTAAGCCCCTAACCATCTCAATGGACTCCTCCTCTTAGCCAAGGGCATTCCAAAGTTAACCTGTAAAACTAGTTCAGGCCACAATGGGAAGAGGGAGTTGGACATGCCTCATAACCATTAACATCAACACAGACATTGAGACTGATAGAACAGACTCTTCAAGTCTAATAAGAAACATTTACAATCTATTTTCCCTGAAACCTTCTACCTGGAAGTTTCATCTGCATAATAAACACAGACCATCTGTGCTGGTCTCCACAATTCTTTATAGTAACCCAGACATTCCTTTCCATTGATTTCAGTTCTTTGGATAATAACTCAACCAACTGTCAATCAGAAAAACTTTGAATCTGCCTATGACTTGGAAGCCCCGACTGATATGGACAGGAGACAGGGAAATATTGGGTAGAAGAAGGCAGTTTCCCCAGGAGAGTCCTCACCCTCAAGCCTAGATACCCATGGCCATAAATGAGAACAGCCATTCCTGTTTTTGTGCCCCAAAAGTTGCTTTTTGACCCAAAACGTCCCCATCCTGTACCCATATAAATCGCAAACTCCAGGTCCAGAAACAGATGAGGAGACGAATAGACAAACAGCAGAATGGTAGAGCAGAGGAGGGGAGAAGAGAAGAAACATCAGGAGGAGTTCGGCTGGACCAGTTAGAGAATTGGCTGTTGGATGGCCAAACTCCAGGGGAAGATCATCTTCCCAACCCATCCCCTGTCCAGCTTCCCATCCATCCTGCTGAGAGCCACCTCCAACACTCAATACAACCCCACATTCATCCTTCAAGTTTGTGTGTGACCCAATCTTCCAGAACACTGGACAAGAGCTTGAGATACACAAAGCTGTCACACTGGCCCCCTGCCCTTGCAAAAAGGCAGAGGGTCCACTGAGTTGGTTAACCCTTAAGCCATCTGTGGATCACAAGGCTAAAAGAGCACACTGTAACACGGGCCAACTTGGGCTTTGGGAGTTGCAGACACCCACCCCTAGATGCTGCTGTTGGGTTAGAGACCAAAAGCACTCACCCTGATTCTTGCACCTGCCCATCTGCATGCTCCCTATCCTGTAAAAGGTTTGAGATCATGGTGGCTGAACAGAGAGCCACACCTCTGTTGCATGTCCTGCAAGTGGGGGCCAGAAAACTCTCCTGTTTCACCACTCCCTGTTGTCCTGCCTTTCCCGACCAAACCAATGTACATCTTACATGGATGGATTGATGTCTTATGTCTTCCTAAAATGTGTAAAGCCATTTTTACATTTTTGTAGGCCGATCACCTTGGGCACATATCATCAGGACCTCCTGAGGCTGTCATGGGCATGTCCTTAACCTTGGCCAAGTAAACTCTTAAATTAATTGAGCCTTGTCTCAGATACATTTTGGTTTGTAATAAGCCTTCTAAATTTTCTCTTTCTTATCTATAAAACTGGGATCTTAATAGAAGCTACCTCTTGGAATTGTGGTGAGGATTCATTAACTCATTCAATAACCCATAAATGTCTTTTAAGCACCAACTACATGCTAGTCATCCTTTTAACACTCACCAGGTTAAACAGGACAAATAAATAAAAGGTTCTATTATTAGAGAGCTTGCATGCTAGTGGGGGAGAAATAAAACTACACAGGAAGCTTCAGAATATTGCAAGGACTTTGATGGAACTAACACAAGGCGATACAACAGAAAGCATTTGGCAGTGGGTATGCCAGCTTAAACAGAGTAGTCAGAGGAGACCTCCTGAAAGAGGTGGTATTTAAACCACACACGGAAAGGAGCTAATATGTGCAAAGCTGTGTGTCCTTGGTAGATAGTATGTCAGTGCACGTCAACTATTTTAAAGATAAATATATTTGCAATAGGATATTAGAATGGAAGATTTTCTGCCTCACTTTTTAGAAATCAGGGGTGTGTGTGTGTGTGTGTGTGTGTGTGTGTATGACAGGGTCTCACTCTGTCACTCAGGCTGGAGTGCAGTGGTACCATCATGGCTCACTCTAGCCTCAACTTGTTGAGCTCAATTGATCCTCCCACCTCAGCCTCCTGAGTAGCTGGGACTACAGGTGCTCACTACCATGCCTGGCTAGTTTTTTTGTTTTTTTGTAGAGATGGGGTTTCACCCCGTTACCTAGGTTGGTTTCAAACTCCTAGGCTCAAGTGATCTTCCCACGTTGGCCTCCCAAAATGAATCAGGCGAAATATTGTCCTCAAAGATCCTGACCTCAAATGCCCAATGAGGCTTGTTCCTTTCAAGAATTCTCTCATTCGGACATTAAACATCTTCAATTCTTTCTTGTTTGACAGAGATTCAAATATGGTTTTAACTCCCCCTGAATCACTTGTCTCCCATTCATTCTTTTTTTATTATGCCTATTTAATCCAATGCAGGAATACAATTTTTGTCCTTTAGGTGTAGAAAAACCATGGTAAGATGTAGACAGCTACAGGAAGCAAAGGCCAGCTAGAGATAGGTGCCTGGGGCACCTAGGGACACAAAAACATCATTGGGAAGCTGGTGTCACTGCAAAATTGTGTTTGTAACAACTTCTCTTGGAATTCATTCTATTGTAAGTGAATGGAAAGGATATTTTGATAGGACCCTCAGGGTATGGGTTGAGAGCCCCAAGGGATACACTTGCTCTGCCTTTGAAAGAGAATAGGTTCAGTTAATCTCCTCTGATTGTTGTTTGCTTATTTGTTTGTTTGTTTGTTTGTTTTTCTAGTTGGAGTCTCCAAGTGTGGGTCAGAACTAAACTTCTCTGGAAAACAGAGCAGAATCTAAATACTGCCATCTGGAGTTTTTCTTCTTCACAGCATTGTTGTTCCTCTAAATAAACATTGAACAAATATTTAAAGAATGTTAACTTAAACTATGGTCAAATTATTGGCCTGTCCTGGTCCAGCTCAGGTTGTTACAGTTAATGAGCCACAGAAATGGGTTCAACTGAGTCAAAATGCTGTCCTGGGAAATCACAGAAGAGTTGTGTCCAATGGTCTACAAAGAGCCACTTATTTTAAAGCTCTGGACTCTTATATCCTCTGAAAGCAAATACTGTTTTATCCTTAAAAAAAAAATTAACTCTTTTTGGCCACTGGAGGATGCCCTTTCAAAAGATGAGTAGTATATCACTACTAAGACATAACCATCATTTTTGCTTCTGGGAAAAGGAGAAAAAGAAGAGTACTTGTAAAGCACCTATTCTTGAGCTGAAAAGAACACGCTTGTCACTGATACCGACAGGAGGCAGGGAAATACTAGGTAGAAGAGGGCAGTTCCCCAGAAAAATCCCCACCTTCAAGCCTGGAAACCTGTAGCCCTAAATGGGAACAGGCATTTTTATTTTTGTGCCCAGATGTTGCCCTTTCCAAGACTGTTCTAGCCTGCCACACTCCTGCCCTGTGCCCATATAAACCCCAAGCTCCATTGGCAGGTGACAGAGCAGTGCAGCACAGAAGAAGAGAAGAGGAGGAGTGTCTGAACATTGAGGAGTTCTGCTGGGGCCGGTTAGAGATTGGCTGCAGAACAGTCGAACTCCCAGGGAAGATCATCTTCCCACTCCATCCCCTTTCCAGTTCCCCATCCATCCCGCTGAGAGCCACCTCAATAAAATCTCTGCATTCACCATCCTTCAAGTCCGTGTGACCTGATTCTTCCTGGATGCCATACAAGGACCCAGGTATTGAGGGGGCAGGATGCAAAAGGCTGTCACCCTGACTTTCCACTGAAGTGGTTAACACTTAGCCATCTGCAGATGGAAAAGTTAAAAGAGCAATGTAACACCTCCAGACACTGTTGTGGGGCTGGAGCCCAAAAGCGCTCACTCTGGCTCACCTGCATGCTCTCCATCCCATAAGGGGTTTGAGAACACAGTAGCTGAGTAAATGAGCCACCCCCTTCACAAGGAGTTCTGCAAAGGTGTCAAGGGAGTTCTCCTGTCTCATCACTTACATAAATTCTCTTATTTAATTCACACATTGGTCCAGTGAGGTAGGTACTCTCATCACATTTTATACATGAGGACATTGAGGTTTGGAAATACGAAATAATTCACCCAGGTCACATAGAGATCAAATAAGGTACCTGGGTTAAACAACGAGCTTGAGCAAAGTTGTGACACAAATCCAGGTGTGGCTGCCTCCAAAGTTCATGTTGTTTCCATGACACCAGGGCAGGGTATGATATTTATCAGTGTGTTGTTTATACGTACATCATCACTTTGGCCTCTTCAATGAAATCCTCTTCAGACATGGAGCCTTCATTGATGGCCTTGATAGCTACCTGGATATGTGACCGCCATTCACCTAAATGGACCACTCCAAATTGACCACTTCCAATCTCCTTTATAAAAGCCAACTCAGATGGATCTATCTCCCACTTTTCTGAAAAAGTAAAACATCCATGTTACAAGTAGAAAGAAAGAATGCTAAAATATTAGGACTGGAAAAAGTTTAGGAATTATCTATTATTTGACAGAGAGGTTAAAAAATGTATAAAGTGGAGAGGATATGAAGCCATTTTAATACTCTATGACTTAAATGTAATTCAAGAACTCAAGTTTCAAAACACAAACTTTATTTATTTGGTGATGTTTGTAAAACAAATTAAGGATAGCAAAACGCACTCTCTGCTCCCAAAGAGAACAGTGAACACACTTCTGTGCCTCTCTAAACTAAACCTACCAAAACTAGACCTGGGACCCAAAATATTTATGTTCCCAGTCTGGTTTTTTTTTTCCTGGTGAGTAAACCTGTAAGGTAAATAAAACTGTGATTTCAGTTCCTCCTGTTGTTCTTCTCACTCCATCCCTAAAGGGCTTTTCTCCCTTGGTATCTTTTCTTCTTAGGGAAAAGTCCAATGAAATCATTTAATAAATTCAGTGTTAGAAATCTAACCCACATATATCTAAGAGTATATCTGAAGTGAAATTTTTACTATATATTTCTCATTTTATAGAAGCAAATTGGGAAAAAATAAACTGTTTTTAAAATAACCTTCTTGAAAACTGTGCCAAACTTAATGGTTTAGGGTCTCCTTTTTATACAGCAATACCACCATCTGCTGGAACTTTCGAATAATGCATTTAAAAGAATTAAAGAATTGTAAAATCTGAGTCCCTTCTACCAGCTGTGCAAAGTAGTCCCCCTCCCTATAGAAGGTATGTTTTATTTATTATTATTATTATTATTATTATTATTATTATCATCATCATCATTAATTTTTTTTTGGAGACAGTCTCACTCTGTCACCCAGGCTGGAGTGCAGTGGCGCAATCTCAGCTCACTGCAAGCTCCACCTCTTAGGTTCAAGTGATTCTCCTGCCTCAGCCTCCCAAGTAGTTGGGATTACAGGCATGCCACCACGCCTTGCTAATTTTTTATATTTTTGGTAGAGATAAGGTCTCACCACGTTGCCTAGGCTGGTCTCAAACTCCTGAGCCCACCTCAGTCTCCCAAACTGCTAGGATTATAGGCATGAGCCCCACACCAGGCCTCATAGGTATGTTTTAAAAGTAACATGGGAGGATATATTCATGGCCTTCGAATTGGCATGCATTTATTCAACAGAATATAACCACAAAGAAAAATATTGATAAATTATACTTCATAAAACTTCCGTTCATCAAAAATACCCTCATTAAGAAAGTAAAAAGTTAAGCCACAGAAGATATTTCTAAAATATACAGCCAACATAGAATTCTTATTCTGAATATAAATAAATCAACTAGAGGAGACATATACCCTAACTTTTTTAAGGGTAAAAAATTTGAATGGAGTATTCTCTCATGAAGAGAATATCCAAATGGCCACTAAGCCAAATTGATCAAAATAATTAGTCATCAGGGAAATGTAAATTTAGACCATAATGAGATACTACTACACACCAGATTGGCTAACATGTTAAAAAAAAAAAATCCTAGAATAAAATATTGGCAAGGGCAAAGGTATGGAGCCACTAGAACTTATATATAGTTGATAGGAGTGTAATTTGGTGTAAGCTCTTTAGAAAACTGACTGTATCTACTAAATCTAAACATATGCATAGCCTATGACCCAGCAGGTCTACATTTAGGCACATATCCAACATATACTGGAATGTAAATGTGCACTTAACTTCATCAAAACACACACAGAAATGTTCTTAACAATATTAGTTGTAAGAGCCAAAAATTGGTAACAACCCGAATGGCCATCTACAAGAAGCATAGCTAAATAAGCTGTGGTATGTCATGCAGTATAGCACAGCAGCACAGTGAAAATAAACCAGCCCTACCCAGAACCACAGATGAAATTCACAGATGTAATGAGGTGAGGAGGAAATCAGACACAAAAAAATGCAGTGTCCAATTCTGTTTATATAACGTAATCAAACCAGACAAAACAAATCAAGCTATAGACTTATGACTTATGAGTTGTACACTATTCTGTTTGTTTTTAAATTTTTTAAGTTTATTTTTAAGAAATAAAAAAGAACCATGTTTAACTTAAGTAAATTGTTAATAGTAGAACTTTGAATTATACATACTATCTGTGGGCCAGAGGACTAATACAGGCACCAATAATAGCCAGAAATCCTGCTTCCATCCCACTTAACTTAATGAGATCCTGAGTCCCAGTTACTTGTTTCCCAATATAATTGTGTTATTAATTTTTTTTCAGTATATTCTGAATCCCACTACTGAGAGAAGTTTAAAGGAATAAAATGTCACCAAATTAGAAAATAGGATTCCCTGGCACTTACTTATTCTCACAGATTTACAAATACCACATTTGCTAGAAAGTGGTTCAAATTGAACCTTGTGCACGTTCTGTTAGAAAAAAAAAAAAATGAAGAAGATACTTTGAGCAGCTCTTTTTAGTAGCTTCTCTTGGAGAGGAATCATTTCCCAGGCACCCTTGTAACCAAAGAACAACAACCCAAATATCCAAATGAAAAGAACTGTAATTTATCAAAAGGGTGAAGATTAAGGCTCCTGGTAATGTGACAGTAAAATCTGAAGTAAAACTGAAGCATTTCTCCCCAAACTTTAAATTGTCCTTATGAGATGTACGTATTTAAACGGTCTCAGGATGATGTAAACTTTGAGAAGAAATGTTTCTAGATAGACATTTCAGAAGTGCTGATAGTTCAAAGAATCAATAGGGAACTTAAAGTAGATTCTTTTTTTTCTCTCTCTCTCTTTTTTGAGATAGAGTCTCACTCTACTGTCCAGGCTAGAGTGCAGTGGCATGATCTTGGTGTAACCTCTGCAGTGTAACCTCTGCCTCCTGGGTTCAAGCGATTCTCCTGCCTCAGCCTCCCAAGTAGCTGGGATTACAGGCACCAAACCCAGCTAATTTTTTGTATTTTTAGTAGAGGCAGGGTATCACCATTTTGGCCAGGGTGGTCTTGAACCCCTGACCTAAGGTGATCCACCCACCTTGGCCTCCCAAAGTGCTAGGATTACAGGTGTGAGCCACCGCACCCAGTCAGACTAGATTCTTTACTACTGGATTTGCTATTTTACTTCAGCATGTGTGCACACTTTACCGTAGCTAAACCCAGCTGTGGCTGGTAAACAACTGCCCATCAGCCCAACTGGATATCGGAGACGGGTCATGAGACCTAAGGAGAAAGAGAAATCAATATTTCAAGCCTAGTTGCTAATACAGAAGAAAGAATGAAATATACTAGAAGATAGTATCATTCTTTAAATAATTAGGCAAACAAAATTCATTGTACCAGTTAGTCCATTTGCTTATTTTCCCATTTGAAAAACATTTTCCAAAAAAAAAAAAAAAATTCTCATTGTATACAATTTAAAGAATCTAAGAAAGTATAAAGACGACCCCAAAAGATCCCTCACAAAATCTTAGTATCCACAGATAGATTGTTATCATCTTGGTGAACATTTTTGCAAAAATCTCTATGTGCATAATTGAAAACATGAACACATCCAATACATTTTACAGAAGTATAAATATTTTGTTAAAAGCTTTTTGCACTATGCACGTAACTGATATATGTCATTGACTATAAACAGAGCTTAAATTTATTTCCAAGATTTCACTATTATAAAATATGCCATATGTCCTTGAACATACATTTGTCTGTACTTCTCAAATTATCACCTTATAAAATGTGATTTCCAGGTCAAAGAGTGCCCAGAAAGGCTATACTAATTTGTTCAACCACCAACGGTGTTGAAGTGTGCCCATTTTCTATACTCTTTTTTTTTTTTTTTTAATGCATGGTAGAGTAAATGAGACTTCATTTGGTTCAGTAAACACATAGAATTCTATACATTAAATGTCTCTTTTTTTCCTTTCAGTGACCCACTTAGGCATATACCTTACATTTTGACTTAGTTTAATAATCATTTATTATTTATTTATTCAACTAATATTTGTTAAAAGCCTGGTATGTGCTTTTAATAAAAGCTTTTAATAAAACACTATCTAGATGTTGGGAGACAGTAGAGAACAAGGCTGATGATTCCTGCTCTCATGAAGATTACATTCTAGTGAGAGGAAGAGAAAATAACAAGTGCATGCACACACAAGAAAAAGTATATGATGATGATTCAGTGCAAGGCAGACTAGGTAACATACAGTTACTTTAGAGTGGGTGCTCAGGAAAGGCCTTTCTGACAAGATGACAGCTCTGCCGACCTTGTGACGAAGAGCCTTCCAGGCAGATGGAACAACATGTGCAAATGCTGGAAGACAGAAACGAGCTTGACCAGTGTAACAACAAAAAGAAGCATATATTAAGTGCCTATTGTGTGCAAGGCGCTCTTCTAGGTAGATTCCCAAAGATCACAGCAGATTCCAAGATTAGTAAAATGAGGACTCTGCCCACAGGGAGCTCTATCTCAGTGCAGGAAGACACTCAAAGAGAGGCCATTCTAATGTGAAAGGAATAAGTATTGTGCTGGAGATGCATATAGGGTGCCTTGGGACGTAGAGAAAGAGCATTTAACACATTGTTGGACTCAAAGAAGTCTTCAGAGGAAATGACTGAGATGAAACTAAAACATGGAGTTAACCCATGTGGAGAAACTAGGAAGGACCCTACTTTCTAAGTAGAGGTAACAGCATGAGATGAAACTTAGAAATGTGAAGCATGATGGTGGGCACTTGAGGTAGTAGAGCCAGATAAATTACACTGGAGAGGTAAGCAGTATTCTGGGTATGATGGGCCTCATAAGCCATACTAGGGAGCATTACATTTTCCTGCAGGTGAGAGGAAGCTATTGAAAAGTCCCAAGTTAGGAGGGCACAGTCAGATTTACATTTCTTTTTCTTTTCTTCTACTTTTTTTTTTTCAGATGAAATTTCACTCTTGTTGCCCAGGCTGGAGTGCAATGGTGTGATCTCGGCTCACTGCAAACTCTGCCTCCCGGGTTCAAGCGATTCTCCTGCTTCAGCCTCTCTAGTAGGTGGGATTACAGGCATGCGCCACCATGACTGGCTAATTTTGTAGTTTTAGTAGAGATAGGGTTTCACCATGTTGGCAAGGCTGGTCTCAAACTCCTGACCTCTGGGGATCCACCTGCCTTGGCCTCCCACAGTGCTGGGATTACAGGCATGAGCCACTGTGCCCAGATTTACATTTCTGATAGATCACTCTGGTACTAGCAGAATGGATTAAGGGGAAATCAACACTGGAGGCAATGAGACCAGTTAAGAGGCTACTGCAGTTGTCCAAGTGACCAATGATTAGCGTGGTACTAGAAGGTAGGGAGAGGCAGGGATCTATAGGAGACACATTTAGGATATGAAATCAATTGCATTTGATAATTAATCAGAAGTGAGGTATTAAGAAGTATCTATTTAATTCCTATGCTTCCAACCCTTACAAGGGGCTGGATGATGCTGGTATTACCTGAGAGAGACAAAAGAAAGAGGACATTTGGAGGGAGCGTAATGGTGTAAGATGAAGCGTCTATTTCATAAGTGAAGTTCAGGGCCTGCAGGATTGCAAGTGTCTTTGTCTACAAGAGAGAAGATTATGCAAAAGGAGATGCCTAAGGTGAGAAGACAAGTGATCAGGGATGGATTCTGTAGGAAAACCACTATTTAAGGGAAGAGTAGAAGTAGGGCACGTTGGGAAGACCCACTAGGAACTTCTCAGTTAGAGAAGGCCAAAAAGGGGTGGTGTCAAACATCGAAGGAGCAACAAGTGACACTGCCAAATGTAGCAGAGAGGACCTGAACACATGAGAACTAGAAAGCACCACTGTACTGTCAAAATACGGGCCACTGGTCAAATAGGGAGTGCTGAAAGCAGAAGACAGATCGTAGATGTTTAAAAAGTAAATGGAAAGTGAGAGAGTGGAGACAGTGGATGTGGACACATTTTTCCAAAAGTGCAACTTACAAGAGCAATGTGTAAAGGGAGAAAGAATTAGGGCAGCAGGAGGAGAGTTGTTTTTGTTTTTAGGATAAGAAAGTCTTAAGCATGTTTATAGGATTAAGAGCTAAAGGGAGAAAGTCAAAACAGAAGAGATACAGGAGAGAAAGGAACAGTGGATTGGCAGGTAAGGGCAAGAGCACAGGCATGCCCTCATTACTACTGGAGGGAATGAGGATGACAGGGCATGGGGACAGAAGAGGAGACGGAGGTCGCTCATGCCTGGTGACTTCACTTTTCCTAGTGAGGTAGACAGATGGGAGATTTGCTAATAGGGCAGTGGTTAATTTTGGTAAAGGAGTCTTGAGAATGGTAAAAGTTTGAACAGGGAACAGGAATGGATACTTACCAGTGACTCTAAGACCTAGTTGAGGTTAAAGCCCTCATCTAACCTCATTTAACTTTTTCACCATAACCACTCTTTCTTAAGTTTTTTCTTTGGAGGAAGGAAAAAGAGGAATGTAAAGGAGAAAACTCAGAACTGACATCTTGACTCTATCTCTAGCTACAACTATGACCTTTATGGCCCCACCCAGATATTTTACCCTCACTGCTTAACCAAAATTCCAGTGACTGCCTGGAATATCCGTGTGAATGCATCCCACAAGTAGATAAAAATGTCCTTTGATATATTCCTGATACTTAGAACCAGTGTAATGGAAAAGTGAGCTCTTTCCAAAAGGAATATTCACTTTTCATGAGAGAAATCTAAAAAAGAAATGCATGACAAGAAGTCAAAGTAATATGAAATGCTACAGTGGATTCTGAATTCTGCAATGCTGAGGTAAGAAGATTCCCCATGGGCTCAGAGTGGTTCAGCACAGGCTGGGCAAGGGCTGAAGGCCAGAGAGGTGATTGTAACTGTGCTGGAGCTTTCTGGGATCCTATATCTGTCCACAGATGATAGGTTTGCACGAATAGCAATTATTGCAAACAATGGCTGGGGAGATGGGTTAAATATGTTTCTGGTATAGTTACGCTAAATTGTAACTGTGAAAGGCTGTATTCTCTGTGACTTTTTATATTCTCCAAACAAGAAAGAACAGAGAATGAGAGATATAAGGGTAATTTTCTATTGCAATTATCTAAAGTAGAGAGCAGATTTATTGGGGCAAAGGGAAAGAAGCATCATTATTTAGGGTATTTGAAATCTTATTACATTTAGTCCTATGTAAATTTCCAGAACAAATGCATAATGATTGATGACTATTTGCTTCTCTGTCATCTATCATTTTTCTAACCTGGTAGAAATATAAGAAATTGACCTACCTCTTGCCCCCAATCAACTAGAAAAATGAAGAGGCATCAATAAGAAATAATTGCTCAAAAGATAGGTTGTACTTCAAGCGCTTAAACTATTTCTACAGGGAGATTTGCTCCTGTTGAGTGCCTGATACGAAAGATGCATTGCCCATCAAGGGCCTGGCTCCCTGACTCACCCAGTTTGAAGTTCCCCACTTACCGGCCGCATTGTGCTGGTGATACCAGATTAACTCGGGGATTGATTGAAAGACGTGTCTTTCAGTCACATACCACTGTCCTGAGTCATTCTTTTTTATCTGATAATGTTTTATGGCAGCCTCTGTACTTCTGCAATCAAGAAAATGTGAATTACTAGAAGAGTGAAAGATCACTTTGGATCTAAGCCAACTCATTAAACAATAGAACTCCAGTTCTAAAACTCATCCTAGCAACACTACACTGAGAAGTGGATTGACTAAATTCAACAAGTGCCTCCCCATGCCAAGAAAATTCCTCAACTAAATTATTGGGGCCTTAGATTCAAACATAACTTCAGCCAAAGTTGTCTGAGTGACAAGACCAGTGTTCAAAAAAGTAGATCTCACAATGAATACATATAAGTACATACTGAATATCAAGTATTGGTTAAATGAATGAACACAAGCCCTGTAAGCAATTGGAGATGTGAGATAAGAAGGGAGGAAAAACCAATGCCAGGTGCATTAGTTAGCAGGTTACTGCTATGGTTAATTGGGGCTCAATACTTGTAGGAACCTAGGAGAGACTGGGGAACACACTTCACAGTTGTCCCACTGAAGTGCAAAGAAGCTGAGATATTTATTCACCAACTCCCATTCTCTTTAATGTAAGGTTGCTCCTGGGATGTTACCTCTCAGGCACTTTCAGCCTAGCCGTAAGTCCCACAAGTTCCCACAGCCAGAGAACATCCTCAGGCAGACAGACACAGGAAGCTTTCTGAGTACAAGAGACCTTTCTGCAAGTGAATCCCAGAACAGATCAAGGGATATGAGGAAAGTGCCCAACAGTGTCTACTACAACTTTACTTGATGGTTGAGAAATGGAAGACAGGAGAGGTTAAGAAATGTACCCAGTGTCACATAGAGCATGCTAGGGATATATCACAGACTGGCTGGTTTTTCTAACTTCCAGGCCAACAATTTTTTCCCTAAGCTAAGCTCTCACTAACATTCTCTATGTGATAGAGACTGTCCCAGGGATTATTTCTATAGTAACCAAAATCGCAAGTGCTTACCTTCTAGCTCCTATAAATACGGAAATTGTGTAGGATCCTAAATGTCTTGAATCTCTGACAATAAATGCACCTTCTTTAGACTGCAAAAAAAAAAATCATTTATTGAATAAGTCTATTCCTTCTTAGAAAGACAAACCTACAACTCAGGGATGAAAATCAAAGCTATATTAACCTACCATAAATAAGCGACCTACTATATTCTCAATATAAAGAATTAGATTGTCTTTACAAGTACACAAAATCTTATCTCCCTTATAGATTTAGAAGTCACACCTGTAAAATAAAATGTAATTGGGACATGCATTTATAATGTATTTTAGAATATTGTTACTGATTTTTCTAAGAAAAATTCTCTATTTGACAACCTTGTACCCTATTATTTATTTTTGTTATATTGATCAGGATAATAGATTAAAAATCACTGTAGAATAGGAAGAACACTGGGACAGACTGACCGGATTGTACTTTGCACTTTGGAAGAAGAGCAACAGGGTGGCAGGGAGGAACACAGCTGGGGCAGCAGGGGGTGGGGAAGGACACCAGAGTTCATGGGAAGGAGAGAGAAAGAACAGATTTGGGGGAGTCTGAAAAGAAAAGCAAAAGGAACCATATTAGTTGTAATAGGGGTATGGGAGAGATGAAAATAAATGGTAAAGGGGAGAACATGATCATAAACCTGAAGTTATATTATAAATTAGATTCCTATTAACACTTTTTGGGAGATGCCAATAAAGCTGTAAATTGCTTTCAAAGAATCTTGAATGTTGGATTGTTTTGATTCGTTTGTTTGATATTGTAAAACGATTTAGCTTTACTGAGTGTGCTTATGCTTATGAATAGCGAAAATACATCTCAGAATCTTGTCAAACCCATAGAAGCTTACACTTATAAAGTGCTGGTGTTATTTACTTTGTGCTTGAGAATTGCAGAACTCAAATAGCATGGTCTGACCCTCAAGGTAAATGTATTACATTAAGTAGAATCTTCTCCTTCTCATTCCAGATATTCACCAATTAAAACATTTTGACCAAGCCTTATTCCCTGGCCAAAATGTTTTAACCAGAGAATCTCTTGCAGCCATTCAAAATAATAAAATCTAGCTTTTACTATATTCCTATGGTGTACAAGGGTTCTGTTACATACCACAGAGGACACGATGTAAAAGACAAAGATGAAAAAGTAAAGTTGAATGTATTGTGTATGTGTATATAATACACACAAACAAGTATATATAATATGTATATAAAGTTGCATATGTAGTGATCGCTTCATAGAAACAAAGTAGAAAGGGTACAAGCAAGATTTCCTGACTACAAAGGAATAAAACCAGAAATTAAAAACAAACTCAAAAGTAAAAAAGTTCCTAACACCTGTAGATTTTTAAATTTTCTTCCTTCCTTTCCTTCTTTTCCTTCTCTCTTTCTCTCTTTCTTTCTTTCTTTCTTTTTGAGATGGAGTCTCACTTCATCACCCAGGTTAGAGTGCAATGGCATGATCTCGGCTCACTGCAACCTCCGCCTCCCAGGTTCAAGCCATTCTCCTCTTCTCCTGCCTCAGCCTCCCCAGTAGCTGGAATTACAGGCACATGCCACCACGCCCGGCTAATTTTTGTATTTTTAGTAGAGACGACGTTTCACCGTGTTGGCCAAGCTGGTCTCGAAATCCTGACCTCAAGTGATCCACCCGCCTCAGCCTCCCAAAATGCTGGGATTACAGGCGTGAGCCACCATGCCTGTGCTTTTAAATTCTCTTTCACATAGCTCAAGGAAATTCAAATAAAAGTAAAAAATATCTAGAAAGTAATAAGGAAACATCACATATTAGAACCTCTGCTATGCAGTTCAAGCAGTACTCAGAAAAATAAATTTATAGTCTTATTACTTATATCAATAAACAATAGCAATAAAAATAAGCGTATTCAACTCAAGAAATTAGGATTAAAAACTATAAAATAAGCCCAAGTCAAGTAGAAGAAATAAATTAATAAAGACAAAATAGAAAATAATAAATTATTAAAGTAAGAATATAATATGACTAGTAAATTCAAAATCTGATTGCTTAGGAAAAAATAATAGACAAACTGCTAATTAACCTAATCACTAAATAATGGTGAAAACCCATCAAAAATAATAAGTCACAAGGAGAAAATTATCAAGAATCCAGTAAAAATTAAGGAATTTACTTGATTCTATACAATAAATTTGGAAACTCGAATGAAATGGATAATAAACTAGCAAGACATAAAATTTATCAAAATTGAATGCAGAAGAGTTAGGAATCTTTTTTTTTTTTTTGAGACCGGAGTCCTGCTCGTCGCCGCAGGTCAGGGCTGAGTGCAGTGCGCCGGGTCTCACGCTCACTGCAAAGCTCCGCATCCCAGGTTTAACGCCATTCTCTCGGCTCAGCCTCCCGAGTAGCGGGACTCACAGCGCCCGCCACCTTCGCGCCGGCCCGTATTTTGACACGTCCTTGGGACACACACAGAGAACGCGGTTTTCACCCGTGTTAGCAGGATGGCCTCCGATCTCCCTGACCGTCAGTGATTCGCCGCTAGGCCCCTCCCCAAGAGGCTGATTACAGGCATTGAGCAACCGCCCCCGCCTAGGAATCTTAATGACCTGTTGAGTAGAAAAATTGATAGGTTTTTAAAAAGTATCACTAATTTTTTTATTTATATATTATTTTTTGAGACAGAGTCTCACTCATGTCACCAGGCCTAGAGAGAGCTGGCATATTCTCGGCTCACTAGCAACTCTAGCTCCCATGGAGTTCAAGCGATTCTCTTGCCTCAGCCTCCAAAGTGCTGGGATTATAAGCGTGAGCCACGGAGCCCAACCAAAAGCTACCACATTTAAGCAGTACTATAGTCACACATTACAATGTACTGAACCTTAAACAAACAAAAAAAAATGGTATAGAGATGAAACTATGCCAGAGCACATGACATGAAAAGAAGAAAAACTTTTCCGTTTGTATGTATAAAATGAGCTTAATATCAATAATCAACAGCACAGCCAGAACTGTGCACAAAAGAGAAAATTACTGACCAGTTTTATCAATGTAAAACTTCTAAATAAAATGTTAAGAAACAAATCCAGTGGCACAAAAGAATGATATACCATGACCAAGAAGAATTGCATGATGAGTGTAAGAATAATTCAATATTTGGGATTTTATTAATATAATTTATCATATTATTAGGTTTGTGCAAAAGTAATTGTGGTTTTTTTCCATTAAAAGTAACTAAAAGTAATGGCAAAAACCGCAGTTGCTTTTGAACCAACCTATACAGCAGACCTAAGGAGAAAAACCACATGAACATCCCTAGAGATGTTGAAGAGCCGTTTGACAAATTTCAACTTCTAGTATCAATTTTTAAAAATCCTCAATAAAATAGGAATGTGTGTGTACTTCCTTAACACAATAGCACTTAGTCTCAAATCCAGCCTTGTGCTATACGTGGAAATCATTCCAAATAAAATCTCAAAAAGGGCCGGGCGCAGTGGCTCATGCCTGTAATCCCAGCACTTTGGGAGACCGAGGCAGGCAGATCACTTGAGGCCAGGAGTTCAAGACCAACCTGGCCAACACACCAAAACCCCGCCTCTACTGAAAGTACAAAATGGTGCCACATGACCGTAATCTCAGCTTCTTGGGTGACTGAGGCACGAGAATTGCTTGAACCCGGGAAGCAGAGGCTGCAGTGAGCCGAGATTGTGCCACTGCCTTCCAGTTTGGGCAACAGAGCAAGATGGTCAAAAAACAAACAAACAAACAAACAAAAAACGGGAAAAAAGAAATAATGCCCACTACTATCATCACTGGCATTTCATACTGTTCTGGTGACAGTAGTCAATTCAACTAAGTGAGAGGCAAACATTAAAAGTACTATATTAAAATTATAAAAGAGGAGTTGAAATCATCACTGTTGGCTGCTGATTGTATACTGAAAACCCAAGAGAATCAAGTGAAAACCTACTACATAAAACATGAGAATTTACCAAAATTATCAGTTACAAAATTAATTCACATAAATAAAAAGTTTCATAAGTAAAAACAAGATATACTCATTTATGACACCAACACAAAAGATGAAATTCTTTAAGATAAACTTAAAAATAAATATACAAAAGTTGGATGAAGAAAACTCTAAAATGCTCCTGAAGAATACAAAAATGTTTACTTTTCTCTTTAGGTGTTTAATACACCTATGGTTATTTTTCCAAGAGGTATGAATCTAATTTTAATTTTTTTCTATATGAATATCAATATATGGCTTCTAGAACAAAAGGGTCCCCAAACCTCATTGATTTGTAATGCCTGAAAATTTTTTCCCAATTTAATCTGTACATTTAATGCAACCACAAGGTGATTCTGAAGTTTATATGGACAAAAATATATATTAATATATCCAGAATATTTCTGAAAAAGAATAATGAGGGAGGCTAGCCACACTAGAGACAGCCTCTACTTAAAACAGTGTAGTAGTCCTCTGTGAGGACTGATCAATAAAACCAAGTAGAAAGCCCAGATATAGTCCGAAATAGGGATTTTGTTTATGATGACAGTGGCATCTCAAATCAGTGCACAAAGGTGGATGTTTGGTAACCATCCAGAAGAAAATAAAGTCGGATCCATATCTTACTCCTTACATCAGGAAAAATTACAAATGGATCAAAGATACAAATGCATAAAATAAAACCACTAAAGTGATCAAGAAACATGAGAATATTTTTTAACAACCTGGGGATGGGAAAGGCAATACATATAAAATTCAAATACTCTTCAGCCCAAAAGACCATAAGACAATAGAAAAACTGCAGGAAATAACGCCACATGTCACAAAGGGCTAATTTCCTTAATATAGCTACATAGGTCCTACAAATTCTGAGAAAAACCTCAAAAACCCAATAGAAAACAATGCAAAGGATATGAACAAAGAGTTCACAGAAAAGGAAATACAGACATATAAAATTTAGCATATAAAAATGCTTAGCATTCCCAGAATATGAGAAATGCAAATTGAATCCACACTGAGATCAGGTGTCAGAGAGCAAAGATCCAGATGTTTTCTATAAAGTGCCGGCTGAAAAGGCTGTGGGAAAACAGACTCGCTGTTTTCTGGTAGACATATAAATTGATACAAATCCTACTGAGGACATTTCAATACCTGTTAAAATTAGAAATGTGTATTTCATTTGACCCAGAATTTGCACCTTTGAGGGTTTATCCTACAAACCCATATAAATGGGAAAAGATATGTGTATAGGTTATGGATGGTAGCATTGTTTCAACAGCAAAAGGATGTATACTATTTAATTTTCATACTGAAGAATTGGTTTTAAAAATTGTGATACACTCAAACTAAGGAATACTATGCAGGTGTAAAATGAAGGAGGACACGTTTTGTGTACTGATGTGGAAAGATTCTAAATATATATCCTTATGTGAAAAAATAATATATATGTAAATGTATATAGTATGCTATCATTTGTGTAAAAGTAGCAACACAAGAAAATATATTTGAACTTCCTTGTGTATGTGTTAAATATCTTGGAAAGGACACAAAATAAACTAATAGTAGTTTTTCTGTGGGGAGGGAAATTGGTGGCTTGCAGACAAGATGGAAGAAAACTTTCCAAAATCTTTCGATTTTGAACCACGTGAACATACTGACTATTGAAATATGAAATAAATAAAAATTATAGGATATTGCCATGAATTGTTTGTGCAGTAAATTTGAAAATAAATTTAAAATAGGCAATTCTCTAGGTAAATATAAGTTATCAAACATTTCAAAAAGAAAAGGAAATTCAATCAGTAATCACGTATCTACCTGCTTTTAAAAGCAGCATATCTGGACTATGTTACAGGACAGTTATAGTAGCTAACCAACCAATATAAACTATTCCTGAGATAGGAAAGACAGCCAAAGCCCCACTCCTTAACTCATTTTATGATGTTAATGTAACCTTTATACTAAAATCAAAGAGAACAGAAAATTATAAGCCAAGCTCCCTTTTGAACACAACAGGATAAATGCTGAATAGAATATAAGGAAACTCAAACCAGAATATGTATTTTAAATGCCTTGTGACAAGTAGGAGGGCCAGATGTATTTTTAAAATAAAAATTAGAAGGCCGGATGTAGTGGCTCACGCCTGTAATCCCAGCACTTTGGGAGGCCAAGGCGGGAGGATCATGAGATCAAGAGATGGAGACCATCCTGGTTAACACAGTGAAACCTCGTCTGTATAAATATACAAAAAATTAGCCGGGCGTGGTGGTGGGGGCCTGCGGTCCCAGCTAGGCGGGAGGCTGAGGCGGGAGAATGGCGTGAACCCGAGAGGCGGAGCTTGCAGTGAGCCGAGATCGCGCCACTGCACTCCAGCCTGGGCAACGATTGAGTCTCCCTCTCAAAAATAAATAAATAAATAAATAAATAAATAAATAAATATAAAAGTTAGAAAATACATAAATTAGAAAAACATTTTTGAGATAGAAAAAAATATGTATACTTTAAATATCCCATGCTTTATACACACATACACACTCATTTCCGATAAAGACCCAGATGTGGAAAGCAAATCCTTAATACATTTAAGAGAGGATAGAAATCCATTAATTACTTCAAGAGGAAGAAAAGTTTCTTATACTAAGAAGAAAAGAAGCATAGATAATAAAGGAAAATTTGAGAAATGTGACCACATTAACCTTTTTAAATTCTATGCAAGAAAACAGCATAAAGTTTTCCTAAAAGCCAGAAACCAGAAGAATATATTTACAACATATAGCTGACAAAAAAGATTGGTATTCAAAATATTATTTATTTATTTATTTATTTTTTTGAGATGGAGTCTCACTCTGTCACCCAGGCTGGAGTGCAGTGGCGTGATCTTGGCTCACTGCAATCTCCACCTCCCAGGTTCAAGCGATTCTCCTGCCTCAGCCTTCTGAGTAGCTGGGATTAGAGGCGCCCACCACCATGCCTGGCTAATTTTTGTATTTTCAGTAGAAATGGGGTTTCGGCATGTTGGCCAGGCTGGTCTCGAACTCCTGACCTCAAATGATCCACCTGCCGTGGCCTCCTAAAGTGCTGGGATTACAGGTTTTAGCCATCGCCCCTGGCTGTATTTTTTAAATATAGACTTACAAGTTCAAAAGGCAAGCACTATAGAAAAGTGGACAAAAAATGTTGACAGGCATGTCACAGAAGAGTAAGCTCAACTGGCCTACAGACACTTCAAAAGTAACTCAATTGCACTGGTAATCAAGAAAATGAAAAGGTATACAATTTTTCACCCAATGAATTGAAAAAAAACTGTGAAACTACTTGCCACCTGCTGGCAAGAATGTTGGGAACCAGTTTATCTCATTTACCACAAAAGCATAAATTAGTATAACCATTTTGAATCATGTTTGGAAAATATCTAATAATGTTAAATCTGCACATAACCTGTGACCACATAATTCCATCTCGCCCTGTGTACAAAATGACATTTATAAGAAAATTCATTGCAGCACTATTTGTAACAGTAACAAATCAAAAACATTTTGAATGTTTATCCACATTGAATACAATTTTATATAGTCATATCATGAAATACGCTAATATACAATTAAAGGAACGTATTTGATCTATAGTATACATACCCATATCGATAAACTTTGAAAACATAATGTTTAACTAAAAAATCCACATACATATGATCTCCTTTCTATCAAATGGTAGAATACATTAAATAACATTATAGGTCATTTATGTGCATGCATATATGACCAAAATTTAAACACATGGAGAAAACAGGAACATACCCTTCTACTGTGATTGCCTCTAAGGAATGAGAGAGGACCAAGAAGATGAAGGGGGTGGGCTTCAACTGTATCTGTAATGTTTTATTTATTTTTAAAATGTCATGGCCAAATTTTAATATTTGCCATGTCTGGGTTGTGGGCCTGTGTGTATAATTCCCTATTCAAGTCTCTGAAAAGAGATGAGACCCTTGCCTTGTCTGGTTTCTTTTCAGATGCAGAAGCTCTTATACTGAATCTCCACAGCCCAGTGATTTGGGCCATATTACCTGTGACCAGTGTGCTAACTGCAGACCTCCTCTGGGATTTTCCTTCTCTCATTCTGCCCACCTGTCATAACATTTTATTTCTCCATGTTGGACCTATTAATGTCATCTTACAAAAGGCCATTTGCTGTGACCATACCAAGAAGATAGCATATTTTCTGCCACACTCAGTTTCCTCCAAGCAAGCAAGGCCTGTCCAACCTCCATCCGTGGTCACCTAAGATGGGCCTGTGTCCCTCATTCTCTGCCTATAGCCCCTGCTATGAAGTGGGTCTTCATTGTATCCTGAGCCATTACTGGCATTGAGTTTTGAGTTACAGAACTGATTCTTTCTCATTCGCATTTCTAGATTTCCTCAATATCCAACAGCAGAGCAAACTGACACACGTACTCTTACCTAGTTTCTAGTTTTGACTCTACTTTTACCCACAGTTAACGTTTACTGACAGTTGGAAATTTAAACTATAGGTAGCTTTGTTTTGGTTTGACCTAAATGAGTAGTTTTGATATGAGTTTGATATTTTGGCTATTCTACTCTTTCCTTTGTTTCCAAAGAACAAAGACACTGCAGCAGCAGGTATTTTTCTTTGTTTATGTTTTTAATGAGTCTAACCTAAGTTCCTGAGGATCAAGTTTATACTTTACTGCCTTTGATGCAAAGGTTATAATGAGCAACTCAAATACAGGACTCCAGACTGGGCGTGGTGGTTCACACCTGTAATCTCAGCACTTTGGGAGGCCAAGCCAGGCTGATCATTTGAGCTCAGTAGTTCAAGACCAGTTGGGCAGCATGGCAAAACCCCATCTCTATAAAAAATACAAAGAAACTAGCCAGGCATGGTGGCACGCCTGTAGTTCCAGCTACTCGGAAGACTGAGGTGGGAGGACAGCTTGAAGCCCAGGAGGTCAAGACTTCAGTCAGCTGTTATCGAGCCACTACACCTCAACCTGGGTGACACAGTGAGACCATGTCTCAAAAAAAAAAATAAAATAAATAAATAAATAAATAAATATATATATATATATATGTAGAGAAAGAGAGAGAGAGAGAGAGAGAGAGAGAGACTCCATTGGCTTGGCAGAATGCACCTTGGAGTGAGTGCAGTAGTCTCCATATGTTAGAGCTGAAATCCTTTCAGGAGAAACATATTTCTGAAATTATAATGAAAGTTGTTGGAAAATATAATCTAATACAAATATATCTGATTTACAGCTTCACATAAAATATGTAGTTGGGATATAATGATATTTCAGAACTCGAAAAGACAAGAAATAATATACTTTTTTAGTTGGTTAAAGTCTTTATAAGTACTTCTCAGAAATATTGAAAATGTCCACAAATATATTGAATTACCTCTTGTCTCAATAGACATTCTGCCTGATTTCTGGTAATGTTTCTATGGTACCACCTGTAAAAGCAATAAAAATGATTTTTAAATTTTATATTCAATTTTTTTTAGGAAAAAACAGGGCTCCATTTCCTTCATTTTTAAGAACTTACTTCAGATCTGATCTTAGAAAGTTGAATGTTTTTTTTTTAATTCAGATAAACAATAATATATCATTATGGGTTAATTAAGTTTAATATAATTTTATGATCAAGCCAATATCTAGTTTATTCTATCATAGCTCAATTCAACTTCTAATATATACTTAGTATACATTATGAATGATTTAACTTCTTATAGATTTCCATGAAGGGTATGTAGTAAAGACCTCATCATGTTGAACAAACACAGAGTTTTGGCAAACTAAAAAAATACTCATGTCTGTCTTTCCTCTCAGAAACTTCCTACTTACATGTTTTTATAGGTGCTTTGTTACACCTTCCAAAAATTAAAGCCCATTCTTACTTTTCTGACACTCGTAAGTGCATTACATTATATATAGTCAGTAGTTAGTAGATGTTCTCACTTATAAGTGGGAGATAACAGGGGGAACACATAGCCATAGAGATGGAAATAATGGACACTGGGGACTCCCAAAGCAGGGAGGATCGAAGCGGGGTGAGTTGAAAAATGACTTATTGTATAAAATGTTCACTATTTGGGTGATGAGTACACCAGAAACCTAATACCCACCATTACACAATACACTGTTGTTAGAAAAAAAAAAAAAAAGAAAAAAACTTGCACGTGTACCCCCTAGATCTAAAATAAAATTTTTAAAAAATCAAAAAACAGAATACCTGTAACAACCAATACATGAACTTGCCTCTGATACCCTCTCCCGCCCCATCTCTCTCCTGAGGCTCCTGTCACTCACTGAGCTTCAGTCTCATTGGAATTCTTTCCTTCCCCAGATTCACCAACCCCTTTTCTGCCCTCAATCATGCTGTTTTCTCTGCATGAAACATGTCATTAAATGACTTTAGAATATCAGAAGTACACACAGTAAACATAATTAACTAATATTGTAAGCTAAACATACAGTTTGATATGATACCTAGTCAATAAGCAAATGTTGTACAGGAAGGAGAAAGAAAAAATGGTAGAACAAAAGAGAGAGAAAGGAAAACTGAAAGACTTTCATTTCAAAACGAGACTTTAAAAAAAATTTAATGCTTCACAAATTTGCATGTCATCCTTGCACAGGGAACATGCTAATCTTCTCTGTATTGTTCCCATTTTTAGTATATGTGCTGCCAAAGCAAGCACTCAAAAACAAGATTTTTAAGAAGATTTTAAACTTAATCTAATATTGCCAGATAGAAGTATGTGACAAATTCAAGATCCTTTAAAATAATTCTGAATTCTATCAGGCAGGAAAGAGACTGAATGAATGGAACTTAGAGGATGCAAGAGCACAGTATTTCAGAATTTCATCTATTTAAATCAGATTATAAAAGTTAGAAGGGGTTTTTAAAACAAAAAATATATATAAGTAAAACTGTAACTCTTATACCTAGACAACACTGATTACAAGTAAGACCAAATGATGTGCATGAAGGAGTTAGGGACAGGAATCCTATTTACATTTTGTTTTAATCCGGCACGTCCAGCTACGGGTGAGTAGAAACATTCTGTATGTTATGTGAATACCTCTGGTACCATGTCCCAATCTTAGATTTCTGATCAATAAGTAAACAGTATTGTGTTCTTGAATTTTTGATCTAGAAACCCCATTAGATCTGAGAAGGTGAATCTGCTTCCCTTAGTAAGTGACTTTCTGTGAGAAGATTAAGGATTCCGTGTAGAGGTAATGAGATAAATGAAACTCATACTTCTGTAAAGTTCAGGAACAATCAACATGTTTGGTATTTAAAATATCTATTATTTTAAGAGAATCTGGTGTATTAGATTTTTGCCTCTGATTTAAAGGGCATAATTAATTTTAAACTGGTTATTTGAAGTTGAAGATAGTTTGACTCGTTTTTAAAACGATATTTATACAGTTAAAGGAACTTGATTTCCCACATTTATAAGTTTAGTTTATTAGATTTCCAGGATCATTTGAAGACTTGCATAGGGCTTTTTACAATTGTAAATTTGCCCTGTCAGGCATGTGAAGTACTTTGAAAGAAAACTGAATTTATTCAGTTTATTAATGCAAATTAAAAGTTTCCAAAAATTTAATTAACTGAGCTTATAAATCGGACTGATTGTTTAAGGATATCTAGTATGTTGAGTCTAAATTAAGCTGATTGTTCTTACTTTTTTAGATTTATATATAGTATACCAAATTTTATAAGTCGAATTTGAGGACTTTCTGAAAACTAGGTTTTTATGTTGTAATGTTGAAAATTGGGATATTTCATTTAAAGCCAAAGTAGCCATAAATCTTTCTATGCACAAAGGTTCCCCTGAAATATCAGTTCTCCACATTGACGCAGCATTCCTTCCACTATACCCACCCTCCCTCAACACACACTACCTGCTACCACCTTTAGACCTCAAGTCACTTCCTCAGACACAACCCAACATCCTCCATCTAAATTACATCCCCTGCCGTGTTTTCTTCCACAGTGCCCAATACTGTTCCTTCAAAACACTACAGTTTTTTTTTTTTTCAACTTTTATTTTAAGTTCCGGGGTACATGTGCAGGATATTCAGTTTTGTTACATAGGTAAATGTGTGCCATAGTGGTTTGCTGCACAGATCAACTCATCACCTAGGTATTAAGCCCAGCATCCATTACCTATACTTCCTGATGTTCTCCCTCCCCTTGCCGCCCTCACCCCACCCCCAGCCCCAGGCTCCAGTGTGTCATAACACTACGATTTAAAATTGTATGTTTATGGGCCGGGCACGGTGGCTCACGCCTGTAATCCCAGCACTCTGGGAGGTCGAGGTGGGTGAATCACGAGGTTAGGAGATTGAGACCATCCTGGCTAAGTCTCTACTTAAAAAAAAAAAAAAAAAAAAAAGCCAGGTGTGGTGGCAGGCGCCTGTAGTCCCAGCTACTTAGGAGGCTGAGGCAGGAGAATGGTATGAACCCAGGAGGCGAGCTTGAGTGAGCCAAGATCACGCCACTGCACTCCAGCCTGGGTGACAGAGCGAGACTCTGTCTCAAAAATAAATAAATAAATAAATAAAATTGTACATTTATTTGTGGACTTAGGGTTGTTTAATGTCTATTTTTTTCCCAAGAAACTGTAAGTTCCATAACTCTGCATATTTCATGTTGTTATATCCGGTACATCATAAGTGTACAATAAATACAGATGGAACAAATAAGGTTTTGAGGACTGAAGTAACAAAGGAGTGTTGAATGCCTGTAAATAATAGGCCAGGTGGACCAAACTGTAAATGTTTTTCCTGTTAGTTTCATAGTTCATGAAATAATAATCACTAGAATGTATTGAATATTTATTATGTAATAGATAGAATAGGTATTATTGTCTCTGCTTTTCAGATCATTCAGAGGTTTAGAGACATTAGGTAACTCTGCCCTGAACCAAAGCACTAGTCAATGCCGATGCCAGGATTTGGACCCAGGTTGCTCCCATATATATACACATGCTCTAGTACTTAAACCTAGGGCAGTAACTTTTGTACAGTCATTAGAACAGTGCTTGGGACATAGTAAGTGATCAATAAATTTCAGCGATCAATAATGATAACGATTTTGTCTGCATCTTAATAAAGCTGTTTTTAAAAATGGCGATAAAATGAAAAATTAGTTTTCTCATAATTGGAGTCATTTTAAAAAGGATGATTTTTTTTTAAAAAACTCATATATAAATCAAGGCCCAAGGAAATGAGGTAGCAGTTGTAACCCCGGAGTAGTATAATTCAGATGCTCCAACATCCACAGTATAAACAGGTTGTTATAGCCAGAGTCTAGGCCTTGTCTAAACAGGGTAATCAATGAGCAAATGAATGAATAACAAAAGGGTGGAAAGTAACATTCCTAGGTAGTGAGTATCCATTCACTAACCACCAGGCACTGTGTTAGCTACCTTCACAAATGTCTCCTTTAATCGCCTGTAAAATCCAAATTATATGAAAAAAGTCTCATTTTTCTAATTTTTCTGAGCAAGAGATTTTCATATATCTGTAAATACACACAAAATCTCCTCTGACCCGGCCTTGCAAGAGGCCTGTTTTTGTTGGTCAGCTTAAGCTCGGGATAGCAGTGAGAACTCATGAGGACATGCTCTTGAGTAGATAGCTGTGGAACTGTTTTTTTTTTTTTTTTTCTTTTCTCTTCTTCTTCTTCTTTTTTTTTTTTTAAATAGAGATAGGGTCTCACTATGTTGCCCAGGACAGTCTTGAACTCCTGAGCTCCAGCAATTCTCCCACCTCAGTCTCCCAAAGTGCTAGGGTTACAGGTGTGAGCCACCATGCCTGGCCTCTTTTTTTTTTTTTTCCAATTTTTAAAAATTGCCATGCTAATCTCCTCTGTATCATTCCAATGTTAGTATATGTTCTGCCGAAGTGAGCACTTTGGAACTGTTTTCTAAGGAAGGTGGGTTCAGTCACCTGAGGACTTTGATTTACTGGAGATTAGAATCTCGGGAAGGGCTAAATGGCTCCAATGGAGCCATGAGGCCCAGTGAAGGTGGGAAAAGAGAGAAGAGACCCTGTGATGGAGCTGAGGAGAGTGACTGGAGAGAGAACAGAAATAGCTACTGGAGAAATCTCATAGAGTAATGTAGATGAGTCATCTGTCCTGAAGTTATCTCCTTTTCTCCTCCAATAAAGTCTACATTATTCACCAAAGCTTTCGAATTCGAATTTGTTTTAGGAGAGATGTACTGAGTTAGGCCTCTAGGTGGGCTTTATTGGTAGCAAGACCAACCAAGAAGTTTCTCTCATTCAATTGTATTTGCTGCCTGGTTCTCAGAGAAGCACTTGTCTTAATGCCTCAATGCATATATTACCTACTGCCACCTGGTGGAAGCATATGCTAATTTTAAGATAAGTGCCCAAACCAGATGGAGGTGGGGGAGATGCTCAAACTGAAAATCTAAATTTATAAAAAACATATGACTAGTCTCAGTTCTACCGCTCTCTACCTGTAATCTATCAATCTTCTCATCTGCAAAATGAGGGGCTAAAAAAGTGATTGCTAAGATTTCCTCCACTTTCCAAATCTGTAATTGTAACAAAAATAGATTTCAGGCGGAACTCTAGTGAACATGCCAAATGGTTCTTCCAAACTACAGCATTAGCCTAGTTCTTATCTTCAGCTATTTCTAAAACACATAAAAACATGAGCCAAAATATAGTCATTTATCTATATAGTTAAGTCCAATTTACCACTCATTGAAAATTTAATGTCATTTTTTAAAGTAAATTTTCTGGTTAAACTATACAGTAAAACAGGTACCAGATGAATGCTTGGTTTCAGACTGTCACTGTTAAAACAGAAAAAGTGGCTATACAAAACAGAACAAAAATAAGTTTAAGAAAAAGAAGTTTCTGAATCAACCATGATAAGGATCAAACGTCTCTTTATTATTAATGCTGTCAAATGTGTTACTTTCTTTTCCTTTTACAGACCCAAAACAGTATCTATACTTACAAGCTGCCAAAATGTCCCTGATGTTCATAGGTTAATCATAGGTTATATTTTGGAGAAGACTTACTCATATATTTCTAAATTAGTTATTTTGTTTTCAGTCACATAGTTGCTTGGGATTAAGCCTTCATTCCTACAACAAAAGAAAAAGCAAAAGTCAAAATGCTTGGCATGTTTGTGGCATTATCATGGCAATAATCCTTTAAAAACCTCAAGGATGTAGGGGGAAATCAAATTCATTTTACTGATTAAATTGTTAAAAGGAGAAAAAAAAGTTTTTTAAATTTCAAACTCAACAAAAATCTCTGTACAAGAAATATATTAAGATCCCGACTTGTAACGTGAGTAGTTTAAGAGGTTTTATGACCCCACAATCTTTTCAGAGAGAAAAGGGGGCATTTAAATGATCATCTGATATCATAGTGACTGTGTTAAAAACACAGCGATTACAAAGACATTGGCTTCATTCTTTTCAATTGCTGAGGAGTATTCCATAGTATAGGTATTCTAGTTTAGCCATTTCCCTGGTAGAAGCAATGCTGTAAAGAAATCCTTGAACATGCCTTCTTGTACAGAAGTAAGAATATTTCTCAAAGATAGATACCAAGGAGGGGAATCGCTAAGTCACGGGATATGTGCATCTTTCAGGATATGCAACAAATTGTCCTCAAAGGAGGATATACCAATTAACACACTTATCAGCATGATAGAGGCTTCACTTTTCCTATACCTTAACCAACATTTGAAATTACAAAAAGATCTCCAAGACATATTATTGAGAAATAAGAGTAAGTTGCAGAATCATGCATAAAGTATGATAAGATTTAGGTAATGAATTCTACAAACAATACCATATATTTTGATATGTGTATGTAAGTGCATTGAAAATAATCTGAAAATGGATAACGGTATTTACTTTTGGGGAGACACTTGTGTTTGCAGGTAGTGGCAAAGTACAATTTTGATATTAATATTTGCGTATTATATTTTTTAAAAACTCTATTCACTTACTGTGAAATAAAAAATTCAATTTTTAAGTCTGAGGCATGCCAATAGCATACCCACAGATGTGGCTAATTACACAGTCCTGAACCTACTAATGCCTCTTTTTCCACTGAAAAGTCTCCATCACATGTTGAGAACCGTTAAGAGAGCCACATCACTGAGAAAATGTAGTTGGAGAGGTATGTAATTTACATGCTTATAATACTTGGATACTTAAAATATCCAAATCTTGACAAATATCAGAAATCAATGCCAGCCTTCTCTCTCAGGAAGTCCAGATATTCCTCAGAATTCTTCTCAATTCAGGACTCCAGTCAGGCATTAACCATCTGTTGCAACTGACACAATGAAACCTATCTGCATCCCAGGATCTTTTCTCTTTCTAATCTAATTCAGCAGCGACTGCAATGTTTGCTTTCAAAACTTGTCATTGTAGAAACATAAAAGTGAATAAAATACTATTTCTGTTCTTACCTTAGAGCTTAACAGGAAAAAACTGACAAATTCCCAAATGAAAGCACAAATTAGAATAAGAACCTACATTGTCAGAATTACTGTTTCCATTGTACAAATAAAGAAACAAAAATTCAGAGAGGGTAAGTGACTTGCCTGGGGACACACAATAGTAAGCGGCAGCATCAGGATGTGAAGCCAGGTGTACCTGATTCTGAGACTCTGCCTGAAAACTGCCTGAAATCACTGTTCTGTCATTCTCTCACATATCTTGGGGGAGAGGGGACAGATTCCATTTCATGCAGAGGAAAGAGTTATAAGCCTGAGTCACTAAATAGTCTTCTTTGTGTTGGAGGAATTGGATACGGACTAAGTCATGGAAGTGTCTTACCCCAAACGGTCTCTTGCCTTCCACCAATGAGGATTATATTTCTCCAGTATCAGGTATTCTTCTGCTCTCCTTAAGGCTAAATTACAGGGTTCTCTGGGCAGAAAATCATAAAGTGCCTTGACTTGGATCTTCTCTTCAGCAACCTCAGAGGGTGGGAGGGGAGGCAGTGGCTTTCGTTTTGACGGCTGCACACAGCCCGTGTTGGACTGTGAAAACCAAGAAATGAGTTGTTTTACAATCATTTTAATAATTTGTACTAAAAAATATAGGGATAAAGCATATTTGCCTTCTGCCTCACTTTTCTTATCTAGCTACACCAAGGCAGAAGCCAGGATGGGATAAATGTAGAAAAGGACTAACCATAAAACTCCTTTTGGATCCAGCAATACCCTCATCATTTTGTACACTTTTGAGATAACAAGCTCTCTTGCCAGCATTTCACTGGACTTTTTAATATCAAAATTCTCAAAAGTTGATGTACTCTTCTTCAATAGTTTTACCTTGTTTTAAGGATTTTTTTCTCCTTAAAAGAAGAAAAAAGGCCTTTTTCTTTGTGTGTAGCGGCAGCTCGTGCTTGGGTTTACCATACTTCCTAAGAATGCTGTTTCTCACTGAAGTGAAAATTAATCTCAGCCTCAAAATGACAGGAGCCAGAATATGTTTTTTCCCACTCATTGCCCATTTTCAAGTTCTGCCTGTAAATATAAGTAGCCTATTTTAACTGGTCTTTTCTTTTTCCTTTTACTTTCTTCTAGAACATTCCTTCACAAATTATTGAGCACTTATTTTATGCCAAGCATGATACTAGATTCTGGGTAACAAACAGCACCTCGTGAATGAAGACTCTAAAAAGACAACCTTTTCCATTCCCCTCTTGCCTGTCAAAATGATACTCACTTGCTTCTTATTTGACAATTGACTGAGCCATGGCCTGTGACGCTGGGTGTGTTTTTCTGGAAGCTCTTCATCTGGGCTCAGGCTTATCTGTGTTCTCACTTGTCTGACATTGAAAAGCAATCATGTTACAAATAATTATTTGTACAAAAGGTATCTATACATCCACTAGATTTTCACAGAAATAGTAGAAACATCCAGGTCTGTTTCCAACTCCATTTTCATTTAGAAGACTTCCTAACTCCATCTCCCTGGGCAAATTACTAGTTTTAAGAACTTAAGTTTCCTTATCCAGTAACTAGAGGTGCTAAGAGCATAGAGTTGTTATAAAATAAAATTGAAAAAACATGTCACATTCCCAGTAGAGTCTGGTGCCTCTTTGGGGCATAAAATTATAATCATGGTAATAAAAACTTACTCTGTATCTGGCTCAGTGCTTGTCATTTTATATGCATTAGCTCTTTTGATGGTGTCTTTTTGTTGTAAATAGACACGGTATAGTGATTAGGAACATGAGTTTGAATCCCAGCTCCACCATTTCATAGTGTGGCCTTGGATAAGCAGTGTAACCTATCTAATCCTCAATTTCCTCATCGGTAAAATGGGAATTGTAAAAAAAAAAAAAAAGTAGGTGGTTTTGAGAACTGTATGAATTAATGAACATAAATCTTTTAGCATAGTATCTGATATACAGGATGCTCCTGTTAAATGTTAGCCTTTTTCTGTTAACATGCTGCCTTGGATTTAATTCTTACAGAGTCATTTACTGCCACTAAAGTATAAAATACACCGATAGTTTTGGGGAGATACATAACTAAGATAGGATTCTTGCCATTAAAGGGAAAAACTACATATTGGAGCACAGACCTATAAACAACATACATGAAATAAAAATTAAGTGGAGAACCATGCCGCACACGGTGGGAACACAATGGGATGAACAACTAAGTCCGAAGGACCAGGAAAGGATCCCAGATGACCTGACATTTGACCTCGACCTGAATTCAACAGGGAGAAAATGGGAGAAGGTTCCCAGATAGAGAGAACAGCAGGTGCAAAGAGACATGGTGACTCCATAGGTATTAAAGAAACTGAATTAATTAATTTTCAAGAAATTGCCCTTGGAGTAGACTTACCGCTTCTGCACTGAACAGCAACAGCAGCAACAGAAAACCGACTGGATGGTGTTATCTGAAAAGCAGGTCATTTCTCAGCTGTTAGAAAGCCACGAGTACATGATATTGAGGGAGTCTCTAAGGGATGGGTGATACGAATTACTACAAAGCGTATGAAAGTCTTGATCGTGCCTTCCTTCACTAGTGGAAGACAAATAACTGTCACTAAAGCAAAAAATAAGTTTCTGGCACCTTGGCCAGTGTGGTTTCCCTTCTCAGGCTCTTCTCCCCTGGCCTGGTTTTTGCATTTCCTCAGTCTGTGAGTGATAAATGACCAGTGTATTCTCTTTTACCTTTGTCAGGGCTAATGTTCACTAACAAATGTACAAGAGAATAGGATTCCAAAAGTGATGCTCTCCTAGGAAATCTGTTAGCAGAGATTTTGAATTAGGTCTGTCGTATATTTTTAAATTAAAATGCTTAACACATAGGCTCTTTTAAAAAATTCCATCAACATTTCAGTGGGATGGTATTTCAGTGGGATGATTCTTTTATTTATTTCTTGCAATTAAAAATTGTTCTAAACCTTAGCAGCATGTTAGAATTATCTGAGGAGCTTTTAAAATATTCTGGTGCACAGGTCATACCCTGCATACCCCACACCAAAAAACATTAGACTATCTGGGGATGAATCTACGTATTGGTATTTCTTTTTTTATTATTTTTTATTTTACTTTAAGTTCTGGGATACATGTGCAGAATAAGCAGGTTTGTTACATAGGTATATATGTACCGTGGTGGTTTGCTGCACCTATCAACCCATCATCTAGGTTTTCAGCCCCGCATGCATTAGGTATTTGTCCTGATGCTCTCCCTCCCCTTGCCTCCCACCCCTCAACAGGCCCCGGTGTGTGATGTTCCCCTCCCTGTTGTCCATACGTTCTCATTGTTCAACTCCAACTTATGAGTGAGAACATGCAGTGTTGGGCTTTCTGTTCCTGTGTTAGTTTGCTGAGAATGATGGCTTCCAGCTTCATCCCTGTCCCTGCAAAGGACATGAACTCATTTGTTTTTATGGCTGCATAGTATTCCATAAAACATAGGCTCTTACTCTGGAATAAGTTTAAAGATAAACTGAATATTTGAAGAAAGAACTACCTAATAAGTCTAGGTTATGCCTAGACTTTCGTTGTCAAGCTTCATCATTATTTGATTTAAGTGAGATGATTTTCATTTTTAAAGTCCATAAATAAGCCAAGGGTGGTGGCTCATGCCCCAGCACCTTGGGAGGCTGAAGCAGGCAGATCGCTTGAGCCCAGGAAGTTTGAGATCAGCCTGGGAAACATGGTGGAACCCCATGTCTACCCCAAAAAGCTTTTTTAAAAAATTAGCAAGGCATGGTGGTGCATGCCTGTAGTCCCCAGTAGTCAGAAGGCCAAGGTGGGAGGATCCCTTGAGCCTGGAAGACGGAGGCTGCAGTGAGCTGAGATTGCACCACTGCACTCCAGCCCGGGTGACAGAGTGAGACTCTGTCTTAAAATAATAATAATAATAATAAAGACCATAAATAAATTTTGAATTTCAAAAGGATATTTTATTTTCATAGAACCTACATTTCCCCATCAGTTCATACTCATATTGACATCTGAAAATATTCTGGAGGCAGCAGAGTACCTTAGAGGTGAGCATTCACTTTGAGGGGAGACAGACCTAGGGTTTAGCCCTAGTCACCTGTCTGACTACATCTTGGATAAGTCTCTTTACTTATCTAAGTCTTAGTTTTCCTAACTGTAAAACTGAGGTAAATAGTATGTACTCCCTTTGAAAAGCCCTAGAAGGCAGAGATAAATGTCTAACTTTGTGACTTTGAGTAAACTAGTAAATGTTCTGTGTTTCAGTTTCCTCATCTGTAAAACGGGAATAATAGGATGGCTAACATGTAAGCCAATGGTGAGGACTAATTAAATTGATTCATGTAAAACACCTAGACCAATACCAGGTATATGGTAAGAGGGTAATCAAGAAGACTGATTGTAATAGGATCGTGGTGAAGAACCAATTAGATAACATCTTTTAAAGTCCCTGGAACATAAAGGGAAGTATTATCAGTCAGTATCCCAACAAGAATCAGAAGGCACATAAACAGAACCAAAGACAAGAATCACATGATTATCTCAATAGATGCAGAAAAGGCTTTTGACAAAAATTCAACAGCCCTTCATGCTAAAAACGCTCAATAAATTCGGTATTGATGGAACATATCTCAAAATAATAAGAGCTATTTATGACAAACCCACAGCCAATATCATACTGAATGGGCAAAAACTGGAAAAATTCCCTTTGAAAACTGGTACAAGACAGGGATGCCCTCTCTCACCACTCCTATTCAACATAGTGTTGGAAGTTCTGGCTAGGGCAATCAGGCAAGAGAAAGAAATCAAGGGTATTCAGTTAGGAAAAGAAGAAGTCAAATTGTCCCTCTTTGCAGATGACATGATTGTATATTTAGAAAACCCCATTGTCTCAGCCCAAAATCTCCTTAAGCTGATAAGCAACTTCAGCAAAGTCTCAGGATACAAAATTAATGTGCAAAAATCACAAGCATTCGTATACACCAGTAACAGACAAACAGAGAGCCAAATCATGAATGAACTTCCATTCACAATTGCTTCAAAGAGAATAAAATACCTAGGATCCAACTTACAAGGGATGTAAAGGACCTCTTCAAGGAGAACTACAAACCACTGCTCAGTGAAATAAAAGAGGACACAAACAAATGGAAGAACATACCATGCTCATGGATAGGAAGAATCAATATCATGAAAATGGCCATACTGCCCAAGGTTATTTATAGATTCAATGCCATCCCCATCAAGCTACCAATGACTTTCTTCACAGAATTGGAAAAAACTGCTTTAAAGTTCATATGGAACCAAAAAAGAGCCCACATCTCCAAGACAATCCTAAGCCAAAAGAACAAAGCTGGAGGCATCACGCTACCTGACTTCAAACTATACTACAAGGCTACAGTAACCAAAACAGCATGGTACTGGTACCAAAACAGAGATATAGACCAATGGAACAGAACAGAGTCCTCAGAAATAATACCACACATCTACAGCCATCTGATCTTTGACAAACCTGACAAAAACAAGAAATGGGGAAAGGATTCCCCATTTAATAAATGGTGCTGGGAAAATTGGCTAGCCATAAGTAGAAAGCTGAAACTGGATCCTTTCCTTACTCCTTATATGAAAATTAATTCAAGATGGATTAGAGACTTAAATGTGAGACCTAATACCATAAAAACCCTAGAGGAAAACCTAGGTAGTACCATTCAGGACATAGGCATGGCAAAGACTTCATGTCTAAAACACCAAAAGCAACGGCAGCAAAAGCCAAAATTGACAAATGGGATCTCATTAAACTAAAGAGCTTCTGCACAGCAAAAGAAACTACCATCAGAGTGAACAGGCAACCTACAGAATGGGAGAAAATTTTTGCAATCTACTCATCTGACAAAGGGCTAATATCCAGAACCTACAAAGAACTCAAACAAATTTACAAGAAAAAAAACAAACAACCCCATCAAAATGTGGGCAAAGGATATGAACAGACATTTCTCAAAAGAAGACATTCATACAGCCAACAGACACATGAAAAAATGATCTTCATCACTGGCCATCAGAGAAATGCAAATCAAAACCACAACACCAGTTAGAATGGCGATCATTAAAAAGTCAGGAAACAACAGGTGCTGGAGAGGATGTGGAGAAATAGGAACACTTTTACACTGTTGGTGGGATCGTAAACTAGTTCAACCATTATGGAAAATAGTATGGCGATTCCTCAAGGATCTAGAACTAGATGTACCATATGATCCAGCCATCCCATTACTGGGTATATACGCAAAGGATTATAAATCATGCTGCTATAAAGACACATGTACACATATGTTTATTGTGGCACTATTCACAATAGCAAAGACTTGGAATCAACCCAAATGTCCATCAGTGACAGACTGGATTAAGAAAATGTGGCACATATACACCATGGAATACTATGCAGCCATAAAAAAGGATGAGTTTGTGTCCTTTGTAGGGACATGGATGCAGCTGGAAACCATCATTCTTAGCAAACTATCACAAGAACAGAAAACCAAACACCGCATGTTCTCACTCATAGGTGGGAACTGAACAATGAGATCACTTGAACTCGGGAAGGGGAACATCACACACCGGGGCCTATCATGGGGAGGGGGGAGGGGGGAGGGATTGCATTGGGAGTTATACCTGATGTAAATGACGAGTTGATGGGTGCTGACGAGTTGATGGGTGCAGCACACCAACATGGCACAAGTATACATATGTAACAAACCTGCACGTTATGCACATGTACCCTAGAACTTAAAGTATAATAATAATAAAAAATAAATAAATAAATATTAAAAAAAAAGAAGGCACACAAACTAGGATATGTTGAGAAGGATTTATTTATAAAAGGAAGTATAGAGATGTAGGTAGAGCATAGTAAAACTACAAGGATAGTGCAGGAATCCAGAGCTGAGCCATCACCACACCTAACCAAGTGAGGAGGGAAGGGAAGGTTACCAGAACCTAGAAGGCGAGGGTGTCTGTGGCCCAGGCCACCTGGAAAAGAGCACGTATCATCCATCCAAGGACACAGATGGCCCAAGGAGACTTCATAGCAAGAAAATCAGGAGGATTAATATCCTTACTCCACTCGCCTCCCTCCCTCCTTGCTGGGCTCTCCATTGGCCTAACCCAGAAGGAAGCCAGATGGTTGTATGTAAATCACACAGGAGCGAAGAGCAGGCTGGTGAAAGGCAGAGAGTGGGCCAGCAGGGAGAGGGGCAGACAAGAAACATCCAGCACGGTACACCCCTCAGCATCCATTTTTTCTTTCCTTCTTTTTTAAACAGAGTCTCACTGTAGGCCAGGCTGGAGTGCAGTGGTGCTATCTTGGCTCACTGCAACCTCCTCTACCTCCCAGGTTCAAGTGATTCTCCTGACTCAGCCTCCCAACTAGCTGGGATTACAGACATGTGCCACCACACGCAGCTAATTTTTTATAGTTTTTGGTAGAGACGAGATTTCACCATGTTGGCCAGACTGGTCTTGGACTCCTGACCTCAAGTGATCTGCCCACCTTGGCCTCCCAAAGTGCTGGGATTACAGGCATGAGTCACTGCACTCGGCCCATCTGAAAGTGGAAATCATATATGCCCTCTTCCATTATCCATTCCATTTCCCCTTTGCCACTGCCAACACCTTGGCTGGAGGAGGTGTCCAAATATTCATTCCTGTAGGATTTGGGTTTTTGTTTAGTCTGGTCTTTGTGGGGTTCCTACAGTTTTCCATTGACCAGGACTATTAAGAACACTAGGAAATGAAGCGAATGCATTCCCTAATTTTTAAACAAAGTTCTCTTTGCCATAATTGTGAAGTACCAACCCAATTTTCCTCTGTTAATCAGGATAATCACCCCAGCTACACTGACCCCCTTCAGGGCCTATAAATTCAGTAGTACAAGGAATCCCATAGCGGCCAGAGGGCAGTTCAACTTTCAATATTCCTTAATAAAAGGATTCTTCTCTTGGCAATGGAATCTCCAAACCTACAAAAACCAAAGTCACAGGGAAAGTAAACAACAGTACTCTGGTGGGATGCTAGATGAAATGGTGAGAGAGGCTGCTCCAATCTCCACCACTTTGTTTCCAGACTCATGTATCCTGGCTATGGAAAAACAAAA